ATCTGTCTTATCTTATTTAAAATTTCAATTAAATATCTCTTTTTGGAGAGTAATTCACTTTAAGAAAATTATTTGCAGGGAAATTCTATTGTAGTTGTATTTTAAAGGTCCAAAAAATACAAAAAAACTTAAAAGTTTAAAAAAAATCCGTCCAATTTTATTGGGTATGGATGGCGTTTTCAATATAAATGTAAACAACAACAATCGTGAGCTCTTGACCTGCTCTACTTCTGGTTAGAGAGTATACAGCTGCTTATTTTCAAACAGATAATTCTGTTTTTAATGAAATAAGTAAGTTATTAAATTTTTTGAGCACAAATCTGCTGCATTTCATAAGATATTAATGATTTCTGGTGAGTTTAAAGTGAAATTTTTTTTTAGTTATTTGGGGATGTCTTGTTCAAAAAGGTGACATGGCTGCTAGATTTAGAAAGAACTTGCTTTTTTGGCAGTTCTGATCTCTTTTTACTCGTTTATTACTGTTTGATCTTGTTGCAAGCCATGCACTGTCATACCTTAGTGTTCTGTTAATCTGAGCAGCGAGATTAAGTTAATTTTAAAAAATTATTCTTTAGGTTTAAATTTTGCAGTCTGTATATTGTTTACAAAGTAGGAAGTGTTTTGTAGCGTTTCTTTTTTCAAATGACAATTTGTATGTCTTGAAATGTTGGGCTCCAGGGTGTGTAGCGTTTTTAAAAAGTGCTTTATTTGATTTTCGTTTTTTAAAAGCCCTTTAAGGTGCTTTTTTTCCATGGGTGTTTTTAAAAAGTGCTTAATTTTCCCTTTTCCTAAATATGATATTTAGGAAAATATCATCTGTGATGCCACAATTGGCATTACATATTTATTTTCTATCCTTTTAAAATATCTTTCATTACTTAAGTTTTTTTTTTATTAATAGAATTACATTTAAAATAAATCAAAAACTTAATCTTTTAAAACGAACACAAACATAAAATATTTATTTCTTCTCTTCTAGATCAATGTAATGGATACTTTTTATTTCATTACTATGCAGACTTATTCATTCACTGTAGCCTGCCTCTAATTGAAAACAAAAATCTATTTATAACTTTTTATTCTAAATTTCCAACCGCTAAATGTTTCGGTTGCATGGTTGTAATAATTCTCATAAATTTGTTGGCGACTTGTGATCGCCAAGGTGTTCTTTTAATCCCATATTGATATGCTAGTATTTTCATAATCAAAAATGTATTTTTGTACGGCTAAGTAAAAATCCCCTATACGAATATTGGCGGCTAATGACTGAGAAACAAACCTCCGCCATATCATCATAATATGATCCACGAATTATGCGAAAAGACATTGTCCTATTCACCATTTTCACAGTTAATTCAACCCCAATCTATTTCAGCTTATCCTCTGTCTGTAGTGTATGAAAACGCCATTTGTTTTACATGTTTGATGAAATACTTGCAGGTCCGTACTTGCGTATACTGAGCTGGATTCAGTGGTGAGGATTTTTGTCTCTTATGTGCAAATCTGCTACATTTTGCAAGAGATTCTCAATTTCAGGCTTCATTTTCCGCCCTCTGTAATAGAATCAAAAAATCTCTCCCGAATTTTTGCTGATTACGGGGACCAATTAACAATGTCATTTTTTTTCTATTAGCGATAGAAAATTTTATTTCTCTTGTTAATTTCATCGTTGGTGACACGGAATCATCTTAGTCACTGGCAAGCAAATAAAACCGGATAAAACCATTAATTGTCAAAAACTTACCAACACTGTCTAATTATGATATTTTTTCCAAGTGCTTAAAAATATTTTTTGAGTGCTTGAAAAGGTGATTATTTTCTGTTGAAAAATTTGGCTACGCACCCTGTTTTCAAATGACAATTCTTATAAAATCAGATTTTTTTCTTTACCCTGTCGATTTTCGGCACGTAATTTGCAAAAGCGTGCTTTTCACAATGTTCTGTTCAACATTTTCCCAATTCATTCAACCACAATCCATTTCGGCCTTCTGTCGGTCCATACTTGCGAGTCTGCATGTGCGTCTACTGAGCTGAGTTCAGTAAGATTCTAGCACTCTCATGTGTAACTCTGCTGCATTTTGCTAGATATGCTCAATTACTTCATTTCCACCCTCTGATATCAAACTGAAAATTATCGATCTTTTTAGGGTGGCTAATACAATCAAGAAAAGAGTTCTTTGTCAGAAACTAATTCTTTTATCGTGATCATGTAAAGTCTTTGAAAATTATTTTGCATTTTGTTAAAGTATACAGTGCTTAAAAATATTTTCTGAGTACTTAAAAGGTGCTTATTTTTTGTTGAAAGATTTGGTTACGCTCCCTGCTAGTGTAGAAAACACCATCCCTAAGCGCATATTACTCCTTCTAATAGAAATTTTAAGCATAAAGTTTTGGAAAATTCCACTGAGGCACAATTTTTGGATAGCATTAGTAAGGTGCTTTATAAGTTCTTTATTTAGTCCTTTATTTAACTATTTAAGATGATGGGCGATTTAAATATTCACCATGAACAGTTTAGTAAAACAGCTACTGATTTTATCCTCCATATTTCGAGTATCCTAAATTAGAAGGGTGGTTTTCAAAATTTTATAACAGGAAAACGGTTCAGATTTTTAAAAATGAAAAAAAAAAAAAAACAATTCTTTCAGCAAATTCATCTGACATGCATTAATTTTTCCTCCTAGACTTCTTTGCTGTAGTTTAAATTAATTTCAACAGATGGCACTGTGGATACTAAACTTTTAAATTAAAGAGCAGCAATTAAAAAACGTATTACAGCATGTGTCACGATGTATGTGTAACATTACAATGTGTAATCCTGGCTAATGAGATGGCTCCTTTTGAAGAAAAAAATTGTTTGCAATTTTCGTTTATTGAAAGATTTTGAAAACTTGTGATGGAATAATCAATTATTTTTCTTCGATACCAACTGCTGCACTATTTGTCAATAGTAATGATAAAATTGCATTAACCTTCCGCTTACGGCTCTCGCATTTTGAGTGGGGTATTAGTTTCGTCCCCAACTATGGGTCACGTAAAAATCACGGGCAAATAATTTTTTCTCCTTGTTTCAATACTGATCCCGCTATATTTATGTAAGTTAAAAGAAACATAATTTGATGCTTATTTTCGCTACTAAATGTCACTAGAGGTTCAGGAATTTTCTCTTTCTTGATTTTTTCCCACGTATTTGTGAGTTTGCATGCTTTTTGTTTTTCTTTCGCGCTACAAGCATTTATGAAAGATGTGGATTTGACAAGTGTCAGTGGCGTTATATGTGGGAATAGCAAACGAAAATATCTTGATTATGAGGATAGTGATTTAGATTCGGAGTATTCCATAATCCTGGGCTTTTCTTTAAGTTTTTCTGTTTTATTTCAAAATTTCTGTAAATGTATTGAGACCAAATGTTTACAAATTACAGTACCCTTCCAAATTATTAGGGACACTTAAAATTTCTAAAAAATTGTCATTTTTCAAAGTGTCATAACTTTTTCAAAAATGAATCAATTTTCATAAAAATTTCTGGATATCATGTTCAGGTCCTCTACTTTCACCTAAAAGTTACTAATTTAATTTATTTCAATTTTTTGCAAAAATTTACACTTTTGAACAAAGCAATTTTTAAAAAAAAAAAATTTCAAGTCTGACAAGTTGCTACTTTGTAACAAAATTTTTTGCATAAAAATTATTACTTACACATTAAAGTACATGTCATTAACTTTAAAACGCGCTAACGTAAATGACTTTACGATTTTTTTTGACTGAGATATGAGATTTTGAAAAATTTTTGCCATTTATAGTGAAAAGTGAGTTGTGGCAGTATTTTTGGTGAAAGAAATCTGGAATAGCCCAGATATTATTGCAAAAGCAAGAACTTGTATTAAAAGTATGCCTCGAAGAATAAACGCAGTTATACAAGCAAAAGGACATGTTACAAAATATTAAGATTTTTTTTTATTATATTTGTTTTTGTAAAAATGTTTTTAAATTTTATAATAAAATTAAATTTCTTGAGTCGTTTTTTAAAATTTTATTGCAAATTTATAAATAATGTTCTTGTTTGTAATGATGTTTTAAATAAAAAAACTTAATTAATCCGAATAAGAAAGTTGCAAAAAAATAATACTAAATACTAAATAATTTTCGTATTCACATTAATTTCGTTTTCACTATAAATGACAAAAAATTTTCAAAATCTCATATCTCAGTCACAAAAAATCGTGAAGTCATTTACTTTAGCGCGTTTTAAAGTTAATGACTTGTACTTTAATGTGTAAATAATAATTTTCATGCAAAAAGATTTGTTACAAAGTAGCAACTTGTCAGACTTGACATTTCCTTTTTAAAAAAAATTGCTTTGTTCAAAAGTGAAAATGTTTGCAAAAAATTGAGATAAATTAAATTGATAATTTTTAGGTGAAAGTAGAAGACTTAAACATGATATCCTGAAATTTTTATGAAAATTGATTCATTTTTGAAAAAGTTATGACACTTTGAAAAATGAAAATTTTTTAGAAATTTTAAGTGTCCCTAATAATTTGGAAGGGTACTGTATATTCATCTGAAAATAAAAATATTGCATGAATTTTTTCACTTATAAACCCTCCGCGCTAAAATAGCCGGCCTCGTATTATATATTTTTTAAAAATGTAAAAGCTATTAAAACTCTTGTATTATTTTAAAACAACTGATGAAGATGTGAATTGTAACATGTGTTGATAAAGAAAATATTTAAAAAATCGCTCTGTATTTCAGGACCGGAAAGTATAAAAACTAAGCCGTATACGGAGGGTTGAAACCTAAAATTAAGGGCAGGAAATTGCGACATGCATACCCTGTCACATAAATTTAATGCAAGATTTTTTAAAATATTTTTTTAAAACTGTTTTTCTGCTAAAAATTTTGAAGAGCACTCAGTATAATTTAGGATACCCTCTAATTTCAGTGTTGTCTCGTATGAGATATTATATGCTTATTATTTAAAATTATTTTTTTAGTTAGTGAAATTGATCAACCGTTGACTCCTGTCTCTCCTCCTCCACCACCACCATTGCCTCCTCCATTTTTCGGAGACCAAAACCCTATACAAAGTGTACAGAATGGGAAACCGCCTTCCCCGATGCCTGTTGAAACTGGTGGGGGGCGTACTGCGCTCCTCTCGTCGATTCAAGGCTTTAATAAGGGGGCTTTGAAGAAAGCTGAAACAAAAGATTGCAGTGCTCCCAAAGTATAAATGAGTACTATTTGTGCATTCTTTTTTTTATAGAGATAATTATGTCTGTAAAGAAATGTTCTTTAATATACATATTTAATATGAATGCAGTAAAAGTTTAATTATCTGTGTTAAGATGAATGAAAATGTATGAATTAGTATGCAAAAATTATAACTCAATATCAGTAGAGGGGAAGGGATTTTAATTTGTGTGCAATTTATTCTTGTCAAATAAATGACATTGTCAATGGAATCCTTTCACAGGCCTATTTTTGCATAAAAAAACTGTGAAAAAAAGTCATGCAAACATATTTAAATTTAATATGCTTGAATGAATTTATTTTGCATGAATTTATGTTGTATTTTATGTTTAATGCCAAAAGTTTTTCAAAACTAATATGACAGGGTTCGTATCTAAGTTTCCTTTCGTCCTTTTCGTCTCTAAGTTTTTCCAGCTATTAAAACTAGTATAGTTAGCCCAATATAACTCTCACAAAAGCAAAGTAATTGTGTTTCCTCTTAATATATTGTGTATAATATGTACAGGTAAAAAACAGGGATTTTTTTTCCCCAGGTGTGAGTGTCAACCTTGATTAAGAACTGTTCAAAAAATGCAAAACAGAAATAAGAAACCTTTTCTTTTATATCTATGTAAAAATTCTTGACCCCTCTTAGAAATTTTAATTTGAAAAATTTTTGGCATTAATAATGCCAATTCAAAACTATAATGTGAAAACTTACTAAAAATAAAATTCTTTCTATATTTTTTGCAATCCCTCATTGTCAAATTAAAAGTACAAGTGATTAAAAATTCTTTTTTAATATTGAACATGCATTATAAAAATAAATAATTGTTTTTTAACCAGATCATAAAATGATGGGTTTATATGCGCATGGGTGATTTCTTTTCAATTTTGATTGCAAAAATAAGAAGTCCAAAGTGAACTTTAATTTCCAAGCTCATTCTAAAGTTGATGTTATGCTAGTTTTTAGAATCGGTTATGGGAAAATTTATTTAAGAGATCATTTTCATTAAATGAAACTTTGTGAAAGGACAAATTTCGGCAAAGTAAGTTTTTATGAAGGGAAATTTTTTTATAAATTTGATTTCTGTGCAGAGGCCATTTTTATGAATTTGATTTTTACGAAGGGACTGTTTTTACTAATTACATTTTTTTAAATGAACCATAAAATTTCCCCAATTTGGGAATTAATTGACCCATAATTGATCGTGGGGTAAGCAATCGGCGGGTTCTTAAAATAAGATCAGCCTAATTATGATCCTTAAAATAATATATGCTGAAGAAATTACGGCCGATTCCTCTAATTACTGAGTTATTCTCATTTTAACTCTCTGGTTTTATCACTTAAAATGTTTTTAGTACATAACTAACTCTCACAATTCTATTTAAATGCATACATAAAATGATTGGAAATTATGTATATATGGCATAAGATTATCAGACAATACTTTTACTGTGTTATTTGTCAATTGAGAATATCATTATGAACAAAATTATAGTTTTTTTTTAGATTGTTTGTTTACAAATTATGTGTATAAAGAGCTTCAGATACTAGTTTTGATGTAAATATATTTGTCTTATTATGAACAAATGATGTCTATTGCACACTATGCTGTTTGTTTAAAGTTGTTTGCACAAGTTGATAATTTATGTTGAAGATATTAAACAAGAAGAAATAATTATAAAGATTGGAAATGTCCTCAAGAAGGTGATTTAGTTAATTTTTGAGCAAAGATTTCAAATATTAGCAGTTCCATTAACTTTTAATTTTAATAGATTTAGCCAAATTATGTGAAAATTAATGTTTTTAATTTTTTTGATAGTAAATTTTTATGAAATTAATTTTTAAAAAAAATGTATTTATTTTGGCATGAAATAAAAAGGCGTTAAAAGAGTTTTAGCGATATATAAATGTTCTAGAATGAGAAAAAAATGAACTTTTTACATTGTAGGTGATTTACGACTAAAATGTTTTATAAAATTCAAAAATATGACTATGAATAAAAATAAGTGTAATTAAATGAATTAGATATGTAAATGTAAAATTTTTATATTAAAAAGTATATTTACTATTTTTTTATGTTTATTTTTAATTTGTGGCTAAAATTATGAATGAAATTCGTACATAAAATCATTCAAAAAACAGCATAAATAAATGAATTCTATCTAAGTCAACCATAAATTACTTGAAAATGATTGTTATCTGAAGCAACTAAGTTGTCATGTTTTATATATGAACTTTAAGGCTGGATGAACTTTAAGCAAACAAACAGTTTGGCTTGAAGAGTGATAAAATTTTGATAATGTAATGAGAAATAAATTTTAAATAAATATTTATTTTTAATGTTTTAAAAAATTGGAAAGGATGTAATTAAATAATGTATACAAAGATATCTATCAAAGTTGATTAAATAAATTAAATTTCATAAAACTTTTTCAAATATAATTGAATAAATTTCATGAAGCATTTTTTGAATTTCATAAAACATTAAGATAATAAATGCTTGATATAATAATTTTTTAACTGTTTAAAATGAATACTGAATTTATTAAGCAAAATTTTCAATTATTTATTATTTTTTTAATGTCCTGAAATTTTTATGTGCAATACAATTAATAAATTTAAATTGAAGAAATGAACAATTTTCTGCGTTTTTGTAAATTCTTAATGAATGCAAATTCGTAAATTATTATTGAAATCACACAAATTTATGTAACTAAAACCTGTAAAATATTTAGAAGTTTTGCTTTGCAAATCTCAAGGAATTTTATTTTGTCTGGAGAGAGACCATTCTGGAGAATTACTTCAAGCAAATTTTTAAATTGTCCAGATTGTGGCAGAAGAGAAAGATAGCTTGATTGATTACCACACATGTCAAAATCATGTTGACTGTATCAAGAAATGCTTTATTCTTTTATCAACAAAATTGCTTAAATTAATAGATTAACTAATTCAGCTCTTTAAATTATGAGAACCTAACTTTATTTCTCCTTTGTTTGCAAATTTTTCTACTAGAAAAAACTTTTTAGAAAGAAACTTGTAGAAAAAAAACCTTTTTGTTTGGTTCACAATAGCATAGATAACTTATAAAAACTAATTTGTATACAAGTAACCATATACTTTGTGAAATACTTAAATTTTAAAAAAAAATATGATAGCTATACTTGGCATTTTTATCAAGTGCCAAGTATAACTGTCATAGTTTTTAAAAGTTAATTATTTCACAAAGTATATGGTTACTTTTTAATTTTATGTATAGTTGATAAACTTTTAAAGATAAATTTAGTAGATAAACTACAAGGTTGTGTATTTTATTGATTTAGCTTCAGTATTTTATTGATTCAGCTCTTTAAACATGAAAATCAGTGATATTAATATATAAAATTACCTGACTTTAGAACCATTAAAAAATTTAACTGTTTATAATACCATAAATAACTTGATAAAAGTGCCAAGTATACCTATCATAAATTTCAAAAGGTAATTATTTTGCAAAATATATAGTTGCTTAAGCTTATTTTTGTGTAAATAGATAAATTATTAAAGCAAGTAAATATATAATATGTATGTTTCATTTTGAAAATCTGCTAGATAAAGATATCTTGTTGATCCCTATAAGTTGCCTCTATGGAGAACTTTTTTAGTCTCTTTTTGGCGAATTTCAAGTCCTAGCCAAGCATAATCTGCTACTGTTTGTATCAAAACTCTCTAACTTTGAGAAATATATGATAGTTTGTTTTAATATGTTTTCCTCCTTTTTTTAAAAAAAAAAACTTTTTAATTATTCTGCCCTATTATACACCATATAAAATTAGTGTTTTCAATTGTATATTTTTGTGTTACTTCAAGTGTTGAATTGTCATGATAGAGGGTGGAGCTGTTTGAAAAATGAGTTTATTCTCAAAATAAATTTAAACTACAATATATTTTATCGTCAACTGCAAGATTAGGATGATTTGATTTACTTTAAAAAAGTATTATTTTTTTCGTTTTTGTTGAAATATTTTTAAAATAACCACTTATGGTTAACTTTATTCAGTTTTAAAATAAAAAGAACCTCTGAAATTTGTTCCTTTTAATGTTAAGTGTTATTTCATTTTCCAAGTTGGTATGTTTTATCATACCTTATTTTTGTTTAATTAGGGTAAGATGAATAGTGATATATATATATCAACTAATTTTTGCATCCTTTGAACATTTAGAATTAGAGCAACATAAAAAATATTTAATGTCTCGAATATTTTTGTCTATGAAAATCAGTTGTTTTCTAAGAAGTTCTATTATTTTTTGTACAAAAATTTGATGTAAGAAAAGATAAATTCGAGTGAAGGATGGTATTTTAATCGATGTCAGGTAGATAATTTTTTGTGCATAAAAATTTAGTAGTATTGTTTTTCTTAAGTTAAAAAATTTTTTTTTTGAATACATAATTGGCCTTTGAAAAATCACTTAAAATACCAATGTTTTTTAATGTACTTATTATTCAGCTTCCGTTTTTATTTTCTTAATTTAAATACTATTTAGAAATGTATGCATGCATCTTAATTTTTTGTGTGTAAATGCAAGTGATATATATTTAATGTCCTTAAAAAAAATTTAAGAATAAAATTTGATAAAATGATTTTGTTTTTTCTTCTGACAATTTCTCACATGACAAAAGGTAGGACATGTTTTCAACACTTTTATTGTATATATTTATATAACATTTATTATATAAATATCAATATATAATATTTATTAAAAAAACTCTGTTTCATAAGTATAACTATATTAAATGTACTGTTTTAGCCTTAATTTATATTGTAATGAAATATTGTTTACTTGCCAAAGAATGTTTAGCAAAATCTAAACTGTGTATAATATGTAAAATAAATACTGAATGTGTATTTTTATGGTGAATGTATATAATTACAGATATCAGAAAGCAAATTTTAAATAAAGTTTACGTCTAAGTATGATTTTGTGCTGCAGATCTTTTTTTTTAAAAACTTTGGTTCACATGTCATGAACATGCATACTTTTTCATAGGTATAGACTTGGTGTGTAGCATTTTTAAAAAGTGCTTATTTTTGATTTTTAAAGACCTTGTGGCTGCTTTTTTTTATTTGTGCTTTTACAAAATTAATTTTTCCCTTTACAAAAAGATTTTATTTTTTACCATGTCGATTTTCGCCGTGTATTATGCAAAAGCGTGCTTTTCACATTGTTGACGTTTTTGCAGTTCATTCAACTACAATCCATTTCTGCCTACAGTCAGTCCACAGCGTATGAAAGCGTCAATCATTTTATGTCGCTGTTGAGATTTTATGGTGAGAAAACCCAGTACATTTCGAACATTGTGGACAACTGATGGTGCGTTACAGATTATTGAAGTCGCACACTCAGATTTACTGAAGCAAGTTCATCACTCAGCTTCTTTTAATGTAAATAGTACATTTTACAATTGGTAGAATAATACTATAATAATGCAATATTACATTACAAAATTTATTTCATTGTTATCCTCTCATGTACTCAAAATGCACTTTACAGGAACAATGTACCCGTTATCGTCGTCAATAATATGATCATATGGATTTGTGGTTACGCTCATAAATTTTCCTTTTCAATTCATTCTACCTTTTTGGGGATACACCACATTTAAAAAAATGAAACAGTAAATCTAGATTAATTTTTTACTTACTTTTTGGGTTGCTTCGTCTAATCATTTTGAAACGTGCAATTATTAACAATGAGGAACACTTAAGCGAAAATATGTCCGATCACTTTGCAAATTGCAATAAATGTGACGGAGCGATGAGAAAAAGACGTGTTACCTAACAAATACAAGAAATACTATTGATTCATCAATGTAAAATAAAGTGCTATCGCGCTGCTTGGGTCTTTTCGTACTCATTTAGAGAAAGCGTTGGTTGGTAGGGCACTGGGCCCATGTCCAAGAGTTTGTGGGTTCGATCACCGCTGGCCGAAGACTCCCCGCGTAGTAAATGGTGACTGATGCACGTTAAATCTGTAGTCTCAAAGTCCTCCATGTTCCCATAATAAATCATACCTCTGAGGGTACTGATCCAAAAGATTTCTTGTCTTCTGGATTGGTTCAAAATTGCAAGGGTACAGAGCTGAACATTAGTAGTCGTAAACTCAAAATTGGGTCGGCTGTTCAAAGATGGATATAAAAAAAAAAATATGTCACGTTCAAATTCTTTAATAAAATTATTAACGCAATTTTGTAAAACAAAAATGGGAGCTAACCTTGTATATCTTTTTACACCTGTCACTGAACGACTAACTTTTTCCGGAAACCATTGATATCTTTATTTTTCATTTCACAACTATTTATTGTCCTAGCACAATTTTTTTTCCTTCCAAATAACCTTGATTTATCTTTGGCCATCATGTCAGTACATTGGGGAGAGGGTGTAACTTAAAGCAGATTTGGATTCAGCAATAGTAGGGAATTTTTTTTACAAAAACAGATGTTGAAGTTTAATTCCATTTGCCAGGATAGATGTAGGGAAGCTAAGAAAAGGAAAATTAATAAAAATTCTGACTCCATTCTTTTATTGCAGTGCAACATCATTTTTCAATAATTGATAAATCGCATTCGGGTTGAACTTACCACGGTACTTGTTGCACGCCGGTACGAGATTCTGTAACTTTAATCTCGTCCTGGCGTGCAACACCGTGAGAGAGACGAATCATGCGTTAGAGTCAACTTGCCGTTAGGCTAACCGTGGGAGGTTCTCGTGGTCTTCATATCCATGTAACATAAATATGGGTTAGTTCCATCAAAAAAGTGCTTCACAAAGGCAAATTTCTCCCAATAGGCTGCTCACCGTCGGTTGTAGAAAATTTTAAAAAATAATGTTTTCATTAAAATTTATCATTTTTTTTATTATTAACAACAAAAAAGTTAAGTTTCTAATGAAAAAAGAAAATTTAATTTAAAGCAAAATTTTTTATATATATACTTATTTTTTTATTGAAGTAAAATAAAAACTTAATTTCAAAATAATAAAAGATAAGATAGCAAAACAAATTAGTGAGCACATTTTATTGGTTGTATATAAGAAGTGACAATAATAGTATTTGCTTATTTCGTGTAAGATCAATAATAAAATGATTAATAACAAAATAAACTTAGAACTATTTATTAAATAAAATATTTCCACAGCAAAACACAGGTGAAACAAGACAATAAATCAAAATTTTTGCAGCTTTTTATTTTTATATTTTACCAAAGAAAATAATATTTTTTTCTTTCACTGCCATACTTCAAGAAGCTGCAGATAGTTCTATAAGATTTATACATGTCAAAAGCATAATACATTTATGACTACAATATGAACACAAATTTGAACACGCAAACTAAATGCAACTGTAGGATATTATTCAGGCATGCATATGAAGCATAAATTTGTAATTAACTGAACTGGTTGATTTACAATAACATATTTATAGAAAACAAAGATTTCAGATAATCAGAGATAACATGTCACAAAAATAGATACTGTAAACTATATTAGATAAACTGTAAAATATATTAGATAATGAAACTTTATTAAAAAAAGTTTTGGTTTATGAATCTGAAAAAATACATTCATGCTGTAAATAAAGTCCTGTACATATTGCATATACATGTACAAAGCAATGCAAATACAGTAAATGAACATTCTTTCGGTGGAATCCCACTTTATAAATTACATTCATTACCAATATTTAATGTATCAACCAATAATAAATTTTTTTAAAAAATATTTGAAGGGAAAATTGAATTTTTTCTATAGTTTTACCATCAAAAAGTCTTAAAACTAGGTTTAATTACTGACAGTTTAATTTCAGAAACTTCCACAGCATTTAGTCTAGTCTGAAATTAGTTTTTGGTATAAAGCTAAAAATGAATCAAATAAGCCGAAATACAGTCTTTACTGAAACATTTCTCTCCGTTGTTGAGTTTCTTTTTTGAATTAAAGAGCTTAACAGGAAATATTATTGCCAGCAATATTTTATTAAATACTGTCTTATTCAAAATTTATTCTCTAGACATAGCTGCCAACATAGATAGAAGAAAATCCAGCAGATTTTAAAAAATAAAATAAACTTAATGATAATTGGTACATAATGTATTAAATATTTTACACTTAGAGATTTTTAGAATCATCAAAATAGAAAAACTGCAATATTTTCTAGTTATGACTGACATTAAATGAACTTCAAATGATATGAATTATGTTTTTCTAATTTTGAACAGTGATAGACATTTAATTTAAAGATTTTTGTTAATTTAAAAATGGAATTCTGAATGAAAAATAAATTGAAAATTTTAGAACAAAAAAAGTTTCAATATAAATTAGGCTTGCTTCTTTATGTATTAGTAATACTTATTTAAATATTCAAGCAAGCAATATTCCAAGCAAAAATTCTATTTCAATAGGGATTTTTTTAGAAAACTTACTCACTTTTAGGCAACTTTCTAAAATATACAAAAACCAGGAGAATTTTAAATAAACTGGAGAAACTGACAAAATCCAGTAGTTTACTGGAAAGTACAGTAGAGTTGACAGCTATGTCTAGTTTATTAGAAAAATGCACATATTTTTTTAAAAAACAAAGCCAAAATACTAAAAAAACAATGGATTACTGAGAGAATCTAAACAACAGATTTAAAAAAATCATGATTGGTTTTTAAAAAAATTCTAACTCTCGGGACCTTTTTAACCTTTCCATGGAACCCTTGATGTTCCATGGAACTCTTTTTTGGGTACCGCTGTACTAAACAAAGCAACATAGAAAGCACCTGCCTCTCTTCAGAAAATCTTTTAGTGACTACCTCTGAACTACAATATCTGATTAAATTTAGGTTAGAGGTTGACATTTAAGTTCAAAGGTGATTCATAGAATTGAAAAAGGTCAAGTTGCATGGGAAACTGTAAATCATATGGTAAATAAAGATAATTTTTGCATCTTTGCATAATTTATAGCCTTAATTATTAGCTTTCTTTTAATTGTAAAAATATAGAATAAACCATTCCTCATGAACTAAAGAAAATTTGTCATTAAAGCTACAAATTGAAATTATAATCTTATTTAATCAATAGTTTTATTTTTATATCTATTATGTGAAGAAATTAAATAGCATTTTTTGCATCTTAGTGTAATTTAGAGGACCCTAATTATTAGCCTTTTTCGGGTTTATTTTTGTAAAAATAGGGAACAAATTATTGCTTGTGAACAATATAATTAATTTACAACACCACAATAAATTTATTTAATGAATAATTTTATTTTATGAGCACCTTCTGTTATATTCCTTTTAAATACAGGGATGCCAACATATAGTAACAAGGGACCTAACTTAGGGACCAAGCTATTTTATTGAAATAACAGAAATTATTTCTAGAAGTGATTTAAAATGCAAAACAAAATTCATATTCACACATTCATGAATTTTTAAAGTATGATATAAAAATAAATATATTTCATGGAGTGGCCTTTAAAGCATTTCATTGTATGAATATTTGCAGTCAACTTTTTAAAAAAAAGCATTAGAATAAATGATAACTTTTAATTTAATTAAAGAAGAAAAAAAATGTCTTTTTTTAAAAAAAAATAATTTCCAAATAAGAATTTGTCAAATTTACAAACTACGTAAATTAAAAGAAATTATGGAAGAATCATAAAAATAAGAATAATAAAAATTTAGATTCCTTTGTAATTTTTAGCAGATTCTAAGTTACTAAATTTTTAGCAATGAAAATAAGCTTAAATAAAATAAATGGAGTAAGATTATATGCACAAATATTAACAGTCAATTAAAAAAAACAATGGAAAGATAGCTTTGAATTTAGTTACTGAAAAAAAAATTTAAATCTCACAAATTTAAAAAAAAATTTCCAAATAAGAGTTTATCAAATTTACAAACTGGAAAAGAAAATAAAGTAAAAGAAAATAACAATAATAAAAACATTAAAAAAAAAAAAAGAAAATTATATATATATATATATATTTGCAATTTTTAAAAGCTTTTAGCAACTTTGTAATAGGAGCTAAAATCTGTTAAACTTCAGGCATAAGAGTAGGCTTAAATAATGAAAAAGCTCATAAAAGAGTGTGTGACAGGGTTCCCACTCAATTTCAGAAAGGAAAAAAAAATCTCCTGACTTTTCCAGGTATAACAGGTAAATTTCAATAAAAATTGAGATCATATTTTCATCAGAAAACTTTGATTCCTTTATTCGTAATATGAAATATTAGATTTATTGTGTAAAACAATATTATTAAATGAGGAAAGGAACATTTCTTTTTGACAAAAATGTGAAATTTTTACAACAAATAATTGTAATAGATGTTAGAATTATTTAACTAGAATCTCGATAACTAATTACTGTTACTGACAATTTTAAGACTGGTTATTTTCCAGGTATGATATAGGAATATTCCAGGTTTATGTAAAGAAATTGCAACTTTCCCTGACAATTCAAGGTTTTTCCTGTTCTCCCTGACCCGTGGGAACCCTGGTGTGAAACAATTATTTACACATTTATTTAAATTTGTTTTTCATTATGTGTACATTGAGAGTCCCACAGATTGTTAAGCTTTAAATATAAATCATGATTATTAATAATATTATTTTTCTAAAGTTTGGAAAGTCAGAAAATTTGGAGTGGAAGAAGCTCATGCCTGAAATTTACAGAAAATTTGCAGTTATTGGCAACCCTGTCAATGGAATGGAATGGCGTGCTAGTTGTCTTTCTTATATATCAATAAAAAACCTATATAATTTAATTACGGAGCCAATTTTTTAAGGCTTCTTTCTTAAAATAAGAATCTAAAGAAGACTTCAAAGAAACAGAAGGTTTTTCATAACGTGTAAGGTTAACCGGTTTCTTCACCGTCCCAAACTCGGTTAGTCTTGAATCAATGCGGAGCTTCAGTAGTTTGTGTCTCAAGCATTCTGCAGGACGAGCTTCAACTTTTGGAAGATCATTTCTTTTTGTAGAATGGTACGGTATCTGAGCGTTATTGCACTTGTCAAAGTAAGGACTAAAGGATTGCCTCAAAACATCAGCAGGATTTAATCTCTTTCTGGTGATTTTTAAGCTTTCAGCTGCCTCATTAGCTCTGCATTGCGTGTCGACGTTGCCTTTATTTGCATCGGTTAAGTTTGTTGAAAAAGAATGCATCAACTTATTGTTTAAGTTCTTGCTAAAATTTTGTATATCAGAAGCAGGACAGACAGAGGAATTTTGAAGAGGATCTGAGAGCTTGTCGCTTTCTTCTTGAATACTTAAATCACTACTGAGACTTTCATTATCCTGAAAGGCAAAATTCAATTTGTACTTAATATATAGAAATTATTAAATTTAAATAAAATTTTAAAAAAGAAACACATTAAAGTTATAAAACAAAATGACTAATTATCCACGTGGCAGAATCGCAGTGACATTGGTGCAGAATGTTAGAGTTCATGCAGAAAGATTTTTCTTTTGAAAAGTAAAAATTTCTACTCTTCTTTTCTTCAGAAATTTACGACCTAATCTTCGTAAAATTACCTAATCAACGTAAAATTTGAGTAATATTTAAATTATGCATTTAGATATTTACTTTTGGACGTTCTCAATTTATGCCGATAGTATCGTAAATCCATGTAATGTTTCGATTGTATTTTCGCTAGTTGATATTGATTTTCACATGGTTGTTAAATATCCCGATATATTTCAAACAATATGGAAAATTTGAATCGTGCATCTGAGTATTTACTTTTCAAGGCAATATATTATTGCTATTGATTACTCCATAGTTAAATCTGATATTTTTTATACAATATTATTTATTACTTATTACAATAACCTAATCTTGAAACAAAACACGCATTTGAGGAGTCTATCTTTTTTTCAGCAATTACAGAGTGCATAGCTAAATCTTTCAACAAAAATAAGCACCTTTTAAGGACTCAAAAAAGATTTTTAAGCACTGAATACATTAACAAAATGCAAAATAATTTTCGAAGGCTTTACATGATCAAGATAAAACAACTAATTTCTGACAAAGAGCTCTTGTCTTGATTAGATTAGCCATTATAAAATGATCAAGAGATTTTTCGATTAGATATCAGAAGGTGGAAAATGAAACCAGAAATTCAGAATATCTTGCAAAATGCAGCAGAGTTGCATATGAAAGTGCAATAATCTTATCGAACCCAGCTCAGTAGACGTACATGCGAGCTTGCGAGTATTTAATCAAACATGTAAAATGATTGGCACTTTCATACGCTATGGACCAATGGTACGCCGATAAATTAATTGTGAAAACATTGAATAGAAAAATGAGAAAAGAAAGCTTTTGCATAATACCTGGCGAAAATCGACATGGTAACGAAAAAAATCTCATTTTTGAAAAGAGAAAATTAAGGACTTTTTAAAAACGCCCAATGAAAAAAAGCACATTTAAGGGCTTTTAAATAAAGAAAATAAAAAATAAGCACCTTTAAGCCCTTTTTAAAAACGGTACGCACTATGATAAATGCAATTTATTTTTGTGTAGCTTGGAATTTTCTACAGTATCCAAATGCTACAGGCTAAATGAATTTAGTTTTATTAATAAATCTCAATCCCAAAATTGACATTAGCATAGCATTACTTAAAAAGAATGCCCTATTATGTGTTAATCTTTATCAAATTTATTTCAGGCAATTGTATTGCTTGTAGTGAAAAGTAGAGCTTCTAGTGAACCTCTTTGATTTTTTTTTTTTTTTTTTGTGAACCTGAGAGAAAGCTTAATTCTGATTTGTGAATGCTCATAGACCTTTGAGTGATTGGTTACTCATTGACTAATGCGACACAAACTTTATATATAGATGCAAATGTCAAAATTGTCCAGTTCATTATTCAATTTCCAGTCAACTTGGTAAAAATTAATGAAATTTATTTTTGTGTAGTTCGGAATTTTCTTCACTATCCATATGCAGAGATGCCAAGTCTCCCGATTTTGGCGGGAGACTCCCGATTTTTGATCGAACTTCCGCCACTACGATTTTAACCGTTTTTCTCCCGATTTTCCGTCTTTCGTACGATAATCTTACGATATTTCGTTATTTTTGCCCACACATGACAGTATCTTTTCATCACAGGATGTTGCCGCGCAGTGTCTAAATCATGTATTATCTAGTAGGCGTGGCTAAATACGTCACCTGCTAGTAGTCCAATGAGATTTCAGCGTCTTTAAGACGTATTGACTAAAGAGCTCTGAATGGCCGAGGATGGCTGGGAGATTTCCTCCTCCAAGGCATGCACTTCGGAAGTATGTGGTTGGCAAATCTGCGCTAGCTGCTTAAATCTTATTTGTGAGCTATAAGCGAAAACAAAGAGCTCGTAGCACGTTACAATACTCAATCTTATTTTTTGTTTATCATGTGCATGCGGTGTTCATAGTGTCATGTCTATTTTATGATCGGCTAATTTTCGTTGATTTGCAGAGATATGTCTTCTAAAAAAATCAAGTACTCATCGAGTTTTCAGAAGGCATACACGGATGAGTTTCCGTGTATTATTTCGTCAAGGAAAGGCAACACGTTTGCCATGTGCGTCGTGTGTCAAACTGATTTTAACGTGGCTCATGGTGGAAGATCGGATGTTGTGAAACACGTCTCAACACTAAAACATAAAGATAAAGTGAAGATTGTTGATCAGAATAAAAAACTGAATGTCTTTTCCCAATCTAAGGACCAATGGGTGATAAATGCGGAATGCCTCTTTTCCGCATTTTTAGTCGAACACAATCTTCCTTTGAGCGCTTCGGACCACGCAGGTTCTTTATTCCGGAAAATGTTTCCGGACAGCGAAATTTCCAAAAAGTACTCCAGCGGAAGAACCAAAACAACTGCAATTGTTAAGGAAATGGGCATGAAGTATAAATCAGCATTGTTGGGTCTCATTAGAACTGCTCCATTCTGTATGTCTACAGATGGCAGCAACAATACAGATTCAAAACTGTATCCAGTTGTTGTTACCTGCTTTAACCCAGTTAAATCGGAAATCGAATCCAATTTGTTAACTGTTCCTGCTCTTGAAGGGGATTCAACAGGGTGTAATATTGCCCAACTGATTATTAAGGTCTTAAAAGAAAATGAAATTCCTAGCTTGAATTGTCTAGCTTTTGGTGCAGACAATGCACCTGTAATGATAGGAGCAAAGGCTGGTGTTGCAGGCATATTAAAAAACGAAAATTCTAGTCTACACGTAGTAGGCTGTGTCTGCCACCTAATTAATTTAGCAGCAGAGAAAAGTGCTGCTTGTTTGCCAGTTCAAATTGATGAGAGTATTGTAGATATCTATTATTATCTAGAAAAGAGTTCCAAAAGGAAGGATAAATTAAAAAAAAATTCAGCAAATCCATAATACTGAAACAAGAAAAATTCTTAAACATGTCTGCACACGTTGGCTTTCACTTGGCATATGTTTGTCAAGGATCCTTGAGCAGTGGAATCCACTCCTAAGTTTTTTTAAAGAAGAAGTAAAGGTTTCTAAACCAAATATTTCATCATCTTTGGACAGCTACAAAATTCCCAAAGTTTGTTAAAATGCAGTCACGTCTGCTGCTTCAAGTTCTATCAAGAAGCATGTTTCTCCATCAGTAACTGGTAGTACTCAGCCAAGCACTTCTAGAAGTAATAAAAGGAAAAGTGAAATGGAATCATCACAAGAAAAACAACTTCCTAAACTGGAACAGTCTAGTTTTAAAAATTTATCTCGCGAAGAAAGAATTTTTATGTTCCTCTCTTCCGACCTAAACAAAGCATATTGCTTGTTTATGCAATTTATTCTACCTACATTTGATGCCGCTAATAAAACTCTGCAGTGTAGAATTCCAAAAATTCATACTTTTAATTCTATGCTCAGAGAATTATTCAGAAATATCCTCTCGAAATTTGTAAAACCCTGTGGAATAATGCATGTCAATACGATCTATGATGTTGATTACCACAAGAGAGAGAACCAAAAAGAGGATGAAGATCTGGTTATTGGAACTGCTACTGGAAAGATTGTGTCTGAATTATCGAAAGAAGAACAGAAGCAGTTTTACATTAATATCAGAAAATACTTATGCAGGGCATGTGACTATATTTTGCATAAATTTCCCATAAAAGATGAAGTTGTGCTGCATGCTCAAGTAGCTGATGTTTCAAGACTTCAGCAAGCTTCTTTTCCGGATGTTAAGTACTTTATTAACAGATTTCCCATTTTAGTTAAATTGATTTTACCAGATAAAGAAATTGATACCGCAGTAGATATCCTACAGGCACAGTTTTGCTCTCTCCAGTTAGAGGACTTAACTGAAATAAAAAAAATTGAAAGAATAGACACCCAGTGGGGTTCCATAGGAAAAATTAAAAGTGCTGATGGAAACTTGAAATATAGTGGCATTTCAAAAGTAATGTTATCGATTTTAACTATTCCGCATAGCAATGCGGAATGTGAAAGGATTTTCAGTATTGTGACAAAAACAAGAACTAAATTTCGACCTAACTTAACTAATGACACACTAGAAAAAGTGTTGTTAGCTAAAACTGGCCTACACGGAAATTGTTATGACCAAGCATTTGACTCAGCTTTCCTACAAAAAGCAAAATCTGCTGCTAATGTTTACAATACAAAAATGACCCAATAATCTTTTATATGTGTAATTTTTTGCCCAGTGGAAACTATTTTATCCTTTCTTTTAAAATGGTTTTTCCCCCCTTAAGGTCCTAATTATATTTTTTATGTGTTAACATTGATGTACTGTTATATGTTAACAAATAAAATGTTCATTTTTAAATTTTAATACATAAAAGTATTGGTTACGATTGATTTCCTATGTCGTGAAAAATCTCCTGATTTTCAGTAAAAATCTCCTGATTTTTGACTTTCATAACTTGGCATCTCTGCATATGCTACAGGCTAAATGAATTAATTTTTATAAATAAATCCGAAAATTAATATTAACTTGGCATTACTTAAAAAGAATGTCCTATAATGTGCCAATCTTTATTACTTTTAGCATTGTAAAAATGTTAGGCTTAGCAATTAAGCATAGAAAGATTATTAAAGTTACCATGGCATCAGTCTCTTGAAAATTCACTTGATTAGAGCACGAAATCACCTCAAATGAATTCACTGATTCATCGGAAGAAGAAATTGAAGATGTCCTGTATCTGTTCATGAAATAGTCAGCATCTCTTTTGAGTTGTGTGAGGTACCAGGGATCCTGACACATTTTATTCTCTTGACTCTTGCTGAGCTCTAAAATAGCTTCATGTACTTTGTGCTAAAATATAAATAAAAAAAAGTTGAAATATACAATTACGACTTGGTGTACTAATGATTTCTACTAAATGGAAAACAGGCATGCCACAATAGTTTTGGGGGGAAAAAAAGGCTAAATTTAGCGTACGGTTGCCACTCAAATCTAGAAAAAAAATTCTCCCGTACATATTATACACTATTATACATATATTGAATAGAAGAATAGGCCAGAATAATTGGTAACTCTGCTCAATTAAATAATTATGTATTTTATACACTATTATAGGGTTGCATAACCAGCGGCCTGTCGACTACTGAAGTGCGGCCTGCGGAAGCTTCTAAACAAAATAAAAATATAATTGTTGGAAATTTTTAATTGCACTTTTAAATCATTACTTTTTGAAGCGCTTGATTTTCACAGATTCTATAGTAAATAAATGTATGTTGTTTAACGTGCTTTCTTCAAAACGATATTATCCTAAATGTACATGGTTTTTTAAGCAGTTATATTCGCTTTTCAATATGAATTCGAAAATCCCGAATTTTTATTAAAATATTATTACGGCACAAGAGTTTCAAATCGCCCATTTAATTAATCCATTTTTGATATAAAATAGAATTTTTTTTTAAAAAAAGTATTAGTTCTTTTCTTTTTGAATGAATTCTAATAATTTAATGCCTTTAATTTTCAACAAATATATTACTAAGTTTATTGACAAAAAAAATTAGAACACTAATGTTTAAATAGCTATCACTATATTTGCCGTCAACATGTCCAAATACAAAATGTGGCCCTTCGTTAATCAACCTGGTGTGCAAGTGGCCTTTCACTCAAAAAGGCTGAGCACCCTTACACTATTATAATATATTCTCTATTGCAGTATAATAAAGAACAATAGTTTTTACTTAAATCACAATTTGAGATTCTAATAACAAGTGTTAAACTCCTACCTGCGAAGCGACAGAAGGACTGGAGCAATTGCAATCAGACACTGAGCTCATCATGCTACCAGAGCGACATAATTGCATAAACCTTTCACAGTTTGTACACCTTAGTTCTCCAAAGTACTGCTTTATTGCTTCCTTCACTGACATCAAATTGGAAGAGAAGTCTAGGTTTGTATTAGCACCTGGATCAACACTGGAAAAACAAAACTTTCAACTTAATTTGTGTTTGCTTATTTTTTTTTTATATTTATGAAACAGAGTTTGAAAAGACCTTGGTGCTTAATCTGAACTTTTTAGTAGGATCTTTTAAAATATTACCTAGAATAACACATTTTGAGCTTAAATTTTAATTTCAAAAGAGAACAATTTTAGTCGTAACGGAAAACTTTCATAGCAAAATAATGACCCTGATATGAAATAATCATAGCTACCAACATCGCTAGGAAAAAAAATATCCAGTAGATTTTACAAAATAATATAATCTCAAGATAACTGTTGCATAATATATTAAATATTTTACATATAGGGAATTTTAGGGATTTTCATTGTCATCAGAAACTTTATCACTCTAATAACTACATAAATGGTCTGCAATATTTTCCTTTCATGGACATTAAACGAACTAGAAATGTTTTTTATTATGTTAACTCAATTTTAATAGTAATAAACTATTAATTTAAGAAAAAAACTACCGTCATTTATGGAAGAAACGCAGCGGAGTTAACGAGTTTAAAAGTTTTAAAATTTTGAGTGCGGCGTTTATGCCGGTTGCGATATTTTAAAAATAAATTTTACATTTTTCAAAGAGAAAATAAAAATTTTAATCAAAATAGTTGCAAATTATGGCAAAAGATGGCGCCACTATTGCCAACCCTCCACCCCTCAAAGAAAGTGGGTTGATCTCACTCTAGTTCCGGCCAAGCCGCGTGGTTGATAGCTCTTTCACATTTTTTTCTCACTTTGTTACAATGTTGTTGCAATCAGTCATATTTTCTTTTTATTCGGAATTTCTTTCCTTTGAAGTAAGCAACTATATTTTATCTTTTAAAAATAAAGCATGAAGAGAAATAATAATAAATCTGTGTCAATCAAAACTTCTATTCCTAAAGCAGTTGAAACTGAAAAGTAAAAACATCTGCATTTCCAATGAACAAAATAAAGATATGCAAGTTGGGAGAAACTGATCAATCAATCTTGACAGCTGTGCAAGTGCTTTACTGCTTTGTCCCCACATTTCCCTCTCCTGTTTGACCATAAATTAGCCACACCCTTTTGACATTGAAACTTCTTTCTCACTTGGTGTACAAAATTAATCCTATCCCTTTTGCTGCTTTTTTTTAAATTCGATTTATTTATCTTTTTATTACTTATTAACTGTTACTTTTTTTTGTTACTTGTTAACTTGTTCTTTTCTTATCGTTATTAGTTGTTTGCTTCTTTTTTGTAGTTATTTATTGTTAGTTTCTTAGCATTAATTGTTACTCTTTTTGTAGTTCCTTGTCAGCTTTTTCTTTTTTTTTTGAGAGGTGAGCGTTTCTTGTTATGTTACGTAAAAGAAAAAAATAAGAATGATCTTGCGCTGAAGAAGAAACGATTATTTCATTTTCGGAGGATTCGGATTATTTCATCTTGATTATATCATATACATTATTATTTTAATTAATGAAATTTCCAAAGATGGGACAGTTTTAAATTCACCCCATCATAATGTGGTGCTTTTGAATACTTGTGGCGTTTTTGAATAATTTTTAAATAAAGGATAAATAGAAGTATTACTTTTAACTAGTAACATTTTATTATTAAAATAACATAACTATATTGAACAAAAATTTAGCAATTTACAGGACTATTTTAGAATTAGAATATACAATTAATTCAACTTATTTATACATTAATTCTTACGTGCTTTTTAGAATAGATGGAGAGAGACTTACCAAGTTTAGTCATGGTTCGGCCTTTTGTCACTTAGGCTGATTGCTTTTGATTGCTTTTTCAACCCTTTCCTTCGGCTGCTTTTATATCGTATTTTTTGGGTGATAAAAAGTTACAAATCTGAGGAAAGGTCAAGTTCAAAAGTCACTGTTGTTTTCGAGTTTGTCCCGTGATGGGTCAATCACATGATGGGGGTGACATTGTAAGATTTAAACCTAATCGTTTATTTGAATTACTTTATCCGTATTTAACTTACTATTTGCCGATGGAGATTTCCCACAGTAGTTTTACTTAATCGAAGACTCTGAAATGTTCTAGAAATCTAATCTTAGCCCTTTCTCTTGATTTTAATTTTGAGTGACGATAAGCGTCACAATAATCTACAATTTAAACTTAGCTAAATTTACTGGTTTTTCTGAATTTTTTTCTGAAGTGTAATTGAATTATCGTAATATATGGGCGCCATATTGTAATTTCTGGAATAGATCCGAAATTCGGCAAATTCCGAAATACGTAATTTCGTCTGTCCCGTGAGTGCCGGATTTTTGATCCTATACTGTATTCACTTTTGCCGTTAAATCGTTATTATGGGTGCGGCGTTTACCATGATTTTTTCCTTTTTAGTCTCAGTATCGCGAGTGCGGCGTTTCTTCCATAAATTAAGGTAGTTAAAAATCTTTTTTTTAAAAATTAATTTAAGAGAGGAGTTATGAATAAAAATGAACTGAAAATTTTAGATTAAAAAAAAAAGATTCTAACTAATAAATAACTATGAGACTCACTTCATTATGTATTAGCAGTATGTATTTAATTATTCAAGCAAAGCAATAAATTCGATTTCAAAAGGGATTTTTTTAGGAAGCTAACTTAATTTAGGGAATTTTCGAAAATGTACGAAAACCAGGAGAAGTTTTATCAAACCAGTAATGGCAAAATCCAGTAATCTACTGGTAAATCCAGTAGAGTTGGCATTCATGAATTATTTACTAGCATTTTTCCTCACATGAACTTCTGGACACAAAACTACACCAGAACAATTAAAGAAATTCTAAAGTGAGTGCCGTCCGAATATTGAAACTAGTGGAGCACTTACTGAATGATTAATAAGCAGATAGGGAGGTGAAGTATACAATTTTATGAATGAATTATTTGTGAAAATTAAAATGTTTAAATAAATATTGCACTCAAAAAATTTAAATTTCATAAATTTGTTCTGCAAAATTAATTAAATTTCTTAATTATTAATTAATTAACGAGTACATGCATTTAAAATCTGTAAATATAACATGCGTAGATGGAGGTATTGTCCTATTCTTAGAATGCTCAGATCATTTTATAAAGTATGTAAGACTTTTTCCTTTATTTAAAGATTTGACCATTTTACTGATGGATAACTTTAAAATCACATTACCAGTAATCCAATCTTTGTCTAATAAATAAATATTCATTAATAAATTTAGATTATTATTCCTTTGTACTTTTAATAGTTTTATAGTAACAGCTCAAAACTGCATCAAGGACATAGTAAAGTATTTAAAATGAAGCAGAAAACTACATGCCAAACTGAGTTTGGTTAAAATTTATTTAAAAAAAAAGAAATTTAAAAAAAATAAGTGCCTAAAAAGTCTCACAAGCTCCACCACCTTTTCTACTGTATTTTCTACAGAATTTGATATAGTAGAAAAATATTGATCAAATAAATAGCTGCATCATTACTATGAAGAGGGTTGTTTGAAAAGTTGGCAGCCAACAAATGCTTGTAACTGGAAAATTAAAATAATGCAGAGTGCATGTTTCACTGGCACCAGTTTACAGAAACCGCACTGAATAATATAAACCCACTGCCATAAGATACATAATTATGAGGGAAAAAAACCTAATCATAATTCAACCCGTTCAATTCATTTTTCAAATGCTCTGAAGTAAATCAAATAAAATAATACTTTTCAAAATGTGTGCTTTGTACTCAAAAATTTAAATAATGCAGAGTGCATGTTTCACTGGCACCAATTTACAGAAACCGCACTGAATAATATGAACCCACAGGCACAACCTACATAATTTTGAGAAAAAAGCCTAATCATAATTCAATCCGTTGAATTAATTTTCAAAATGCTTTGAAATTATTAAAAAAAAAAATGAATGCTTTCTACTCGAAAATTAAAATGCAGGGTGCATGTTTCAGTGACAGAGAAACCACACTGAATAATATAAACCCACAGCCACAACATACATAATTTTGAGGAAAAAAACATAATCATAATTAGAAGAAACTATATTATTTGTCACACACTGAAACTTTTAAGAGAAATGAAAAAAGTGTGATAACCAGTTTGAAAGTAAACTTACTTAAACTTTCTCAAGTTTTCCGCAGAGAAGCAAACACATTTCGACTTATCGGGCAAATGGTCTCCTTCTGGTGAAGCCTTCCTAGCTAGGTCGTGACAAAGACGATAGAAGGAAGATTGACGCTGACGACGATTCAGAAACATCTCATCTACCATAAGAATCATTTCTGATGCTCTCTCATTAAGCAGCTTAACAGCTTCAGAAGTTTCAGACAATATTATATTCTTCAGCTTTAATAACAAAACAATACACTTCATCTTAATAATAAAAATGTACAAATCCTACAATGTACAGGATGTCTCAATTAAACATTTCAGAGAGGAGATGGGGTACATCCTACGACTGAAAATCGCATAGCATTGCAAGGAAAGAAATGCTTTCCTGAAGCTGTGATGCACATGCAAAAGCATTAAATACATTATACACAAAAAGAAAGCACTCAATGCTTCTTTCACCAACTGCAACCTCATAACTGTCATGGACGATGCATGGAATTCCAAATATTTTAGAACGGAGCTGCCAACAGAATGGATTAATCCACGGTTTAAACCGTCCTGTCTAAAACCCTTTTATTCAAATTATGTCAGAATTTTAAAAAGAATATTGTAAAAAATAGAAAGTTAATTTTTGAACAAGAAACAAAATGAAGACAAGTTTCTGTTTTATTGAAAAAGTATATCATTATTTTTAATACTGCAAAAATACACCCTTATGCAAAAATATAATTTATCAGTATTAAAACCACATTTATTCATATTTAATAAGGTTCATTGAGTTGTGGAGCAGCAAAAGTTATAAATATTTTCCTATTGTATTACATTATTTTCCTTTCATAAGCAAAAGCAAATGGTATAAAAAGTGTCAAATATTTATTAATATATGTTAATTATTATGTGCACAATGGTTACACCTTTTACTTTTTGCTTTTTACCTAAGTTAAAAGTTTTGGATACTTTAAGACAGTTTAGGACAGCAAGCTGAGGGCGCTAAGCCCATGTCCAAGAGTTTGCAGGGTCGATCCAAGCCTGCCGAAGACTCCCTGTGTAGTAAATGGTGACTGATGCACATGTCAAGCCACAAAGTTCTCCATGTTCCCATAACAAATCAATACCTCTGTTGGTACTGATCCAGGAGTTTTCTCGTCTTCTGGATTGCTTCAAAATTACAAGGCTACAGAGTTGAACATTAGTAGTCGTAAACCCAAAATTGGGTCGACTGTTCAATGACAGATATAAAATAGAAAAAAGTAAAACCCATGAGTCCTGTCCAAAACCCCAACCCTGTTCTGGAATAATCCAGACTCAAATTTCTCTGGCAGCTGCCAACACCATCAACTGCTTCAAGAAAACACCAGCACATAATGCTGCACCTATGCCCCAGAAGGAGCTCTATCATCGAATTGCAGAGGCCTTTTCAGGAAAGCATATCCAACCCTCTGTTGCAATTAGGATGCAATCTCCCCTTTTCAATTCAGAAATATTTAAACAAGACACCTTGCAATTTACATTGGCATTTGCAATGCACCAAGGTAATTGAAAAAGAATTCATTACTTTTTAAAAAGCCCAAATGACAGGTTAGGAAAATATAAGCACTTTTTAAACTTAGGGGCTGTACACAAATGATGTCAGATTTTTAAAAATATTTTTGACCACCTCCTCTCTTTTTCGACAAAGCGTCACACTCAACTGTACCTCCCTACCCCACATAGCCACACTGTATTACATACAGTTCAGAAGTAAAACAAGTGTTAAAAATAATATACATCAAATTTGAAACTTTAATAATTTTTTTTAAATTATATTCTTAAGCATAACAATAACAATGATTGGATTAGTTCTTATTTTGATGAAAAAGTATTAAAAAAATATACAAAAATATTTAATCTGTGATTTTTTTGTTTTCATTTCCCCATACTGTACTCCAATTGTTCTGAGAAAAATTTAAATCTTAGAGAAAGTTCATAGATTTCTTTTTTCTATAGCCTTTTTAATATTTTTTATCTTCCAAGAAAATTCAAATTGTCTAACAAATACTGGAGTCGGAGTCAATGTGTTTTTGGCAACTCCATTACTTTGACTCCCTTTTACCTAAAAATCTTCATAACTCTGATTCCAACACCACAGCGCTGGTGACAATTTCACTAACCCAGTTTTCCCCTTTATTTATGAACGGCCCCTTAAGACCTTATACTTATTATTAGAATTCTTTTAAAAAATAATAAATTAATGTTAACACGTTGAATGCCACGCTAATTTTACATGGCTTGCCCATCTGGCCACAATGATTTTCTCAGTATGCATTGCATTAATTTCTTCAAACTAAATATAAAAAAATTAAAAGCATTCAAAATTTACTCGAATTATGTGTTTCTAATAATCTTGGCTTCGCCGGTCAATCCTCGTGGCGCTACGAACAAACTCAGTGTCGGTCTCCGGTGACCCCCATGGCATTCAACGTGTTAATAAGCACAATTAATTATGCAAAGCTTTGAAAAGCCTCTTAGAATATTACTTTTCCTGCAGTCTTATCATCATTATGGAAGTCCCGAACAACTTCAAAGAACTCCATAATCACTGAGGGCTCTAATATTTTCTGCATCTCTAGGATGCACTTGCCTCGGCATGTTTTGTCTGAAAAAAAAAAGATATAATAATGTGAAACAATGATCTTAGCACTAAAAAAACATTTTTTATATTTTTATGGGTGAAAAATACGGACAAAATCAGAGCCAACTTGTCATGGGCGCTGCATTTCCATAGTCGGCAAGATTAAATTTTTTTAATAATTATAAAAACTTCATTTAAAAAAAAAATTTCTAATTAGTTTTTACATTGAAAATATGTAAAATTTCTCATTTATAGACTTACTAGTAATCTATGTATATAATCAATAAAAATTATATACAAGTATAAAATTTCAAACCAGGGTTGGGTTTTTGACGTCAAAAAGTGGTTTTTGACATGACAAGGGTATAATACTGGTTTAAACCGTCAAAAATCCNTTTAAACCATGGTTTAAACTGTCAAAAACTGTNTTTGACGTGACGGTTTAAACCATGGTTTAAACCGTCAAAAACTGTCACATGTCAAAAACCTGCCAACCCTGTTTCAAACAAAAGAAAAAAAGTGATTGTTAATTTTTAGGAATAAAATTCGAAAAGAAAAAAACATGCTTTTTTTCCAAGAATATATTTAGGTGAAAATCTAGGATTTTACTTTCCAAGAAGTACTATAAACTAAAAATATTTAAAAGGCCTCACTAAATATCTCCCAGAGACTAGTGATGACTGAGCAAGGAGCTGCAAAGGTTACAAAAAAATTGTATGGCATGATGTTTTCATCTGTGCCCTCTAAACCCACACCCAACTCTCATGTTGTTGGTCACCCAGTGGCAGAATTTTTTCGAGCTATCTGTAACAAAAATCTGTAGCACTCATATCTTTCTGCAAGATACTTTTAATAATAACAAACATATATGTTATTAATTTAAAATAACAAAAGCACTGTGTTAACAGAAAAAAAACTACATAATTTTTTATTCTAATATTATAGGTGATATTCTAGCATTTTGTTGGGGGGAAAAACACAAATTATTTCCTTCGCCTATTCCTAATTTGTAAATCATCACAATAAAAAAAAAAATTAAAAATCATGAAATCTGTAGTAGTAATCACCGAAAAAAAATCAACGACAAAATCACGCAAATCGGACTCCTCTAAAAAGGGGTTGCTCAAATGCGTGTTTCTTTTCGAGATTGGGTTGTTGTAATAAATAATATCGTATAAAAATATCGGATTTAGAAACTATGAAGAAATCAATAGCAATAACTGCCAAAAATTCGATAACATCATTGACTTAAGTAAATACTCAAATGCACAATTCAAATTTTCCATTTTGTTTCAAATATATTGGGATAATTGAAAACTACATGAAAATCAGTAACAATAACTGCTGAAAATACAATCAAAACATTACATCGATTTACGATACTATCTGCATAAATTGAGCGAGTCAAAAAATTACTATCTAAATGCATGATTCAAATATTATGTGTGAATTTCTGTCGAAACGAAAACTAAAATCTTTTATTCTTCTAAAGAAAAATCTTTCTACAAGAACTAGGTAATGTTCCACCAGCGACAATGTCGCCAATTCTGCCACGGGGGTTGGTCATAGCATTGAGAAGCACGTTAGTCAAAAATCAAACCTGCCTAAAAGTGATAACTCAAATCTGAAATTTACATGTTGCAATCATATACTAAAAAAAAAAGATGAATAACATCTGAAAAAACTACAATCATACAACCTCAATCATTATATAATTGTAATGAATAGAATGCATAAAAAAATGATAACTTAAATTCGAATGTCATAATGAATGTTATAAAATTATTGAAAAAATATAAAAAATCACATAAAAAGGACCACTATAATAATAAATAACTACCAAAAAACCTATCTTAAAATAAGGAAAAATTGTGACAGAATAGTTCGAATCAAACAAGCCAAATGACACAAATTTGTGTGTCATAATAAGTTTGTACTAAAAATATCAGAAGTGAAAAGGGCTGAAAATTTTTTAAATAACTTCTGAAAAAAACTATACTATAAACAGGGTGTGTAACCAGATTTTTCAACAAAAAATAAGCACCTTTTAAGTACTTTTCAAGCACTAAAAAAATATTTTTCATCACTTTCCTAAAAAATCATAATTAGGATCTATGCAGTAATAAAAATTATTTTTTTCTATCGTTTAAAGTTCTTAATTCATAAACACAAAATCAATAAAATGGAGAAAAAAATTCAAAAACTTTACATAATCCTGATTAAATAATTAGTTTTTGATAAATATTGTAGAAAAAATTGAGAAAATCATGCATTTTTTGTAATTTATAACGACAATCGACACAGCAAAAAAAATTCTCTTTTTAAAATATAAAAAATCAAGCACTTTTTTACAAACGGGTAAAACAAAACTCCTTTAAGGGCTTTTAGAAAATGCAAATCAAAAACTTTTAGCTTTAAGCACTTTTGAAAAACACTAGGCACACTGTATAACACAAGAGATTACAACAGAATCGTCACGTATCGCGCATTTTAAAAAAGTGAGAGCTAAAATCTAAATGAGCATATCAAAATTTTATTAAATATATTTGAAAGACACCATTGAGACGGCAAGAAAATGATTAGTTTGTGTTGAAAACACTATCAGAAAACATAGATTTATGGATTTCTAAAAAACCGGTACAAATAGATTGCTTATTTTTTTTTATAACAAAAATATACATAAAGGAGCACGTTGTCCAGCTTCACATAAGATGGAAACTTTTCATTCAAAGGACACAAAAGGAATGTCTCAAACCACAAATGTATTAAATATATTTGAAAAACCATATTCAGGGTGCATAGCCAAATCTTTCAACAAAAAATAAGCACCTTTTAAGCACTCAAAAAATATTTTTAAGCACTATACATTAACAAAATGCAAAATAATTTTCAAAGACTTTACATGATCATGATAAAATAACTAAGTTTCTGACAAAGAACTCTTTTCTTGATTATATTAGCCACCATAAAAAGATGGAGAGATTTTTCAGTTCAAATTCAGAGGGAAGGAAATGAAGCCTGAAATTGAGAATCTCTTGCAAAATGCAGCAGATTTGCACATAAGAGTGCAAGAATCTCACCAAACCCAGCTCAGCATACGCACATGCTGACATGCAAGTATTTCATCAAACATGTAAAATGATTGGCGTATTCATACGCTATGGGACGAGGGTACGCCGAAATGCATTGTGTTTGATTGAATTGTGAAAACATTGAATAGAACAATGTGAAAACTAAGCTTTTGGATATGTGGCGAAAATCGACATGGTAAAGAAAAAAATTCTCATTTTCGATAAGGACTTTCAAGAAACGAAAATCGAAAATAAGCACCTTTAAGCAGTTTTTAAAAACGCTACGCACCATGATATTGAAATGGTAAACAAAAAAATAATTACTTTTTTCTTGAAAAAAAAAACTATTGGAAAATCACAGGGATTTTCCAAAAAACCAGTGCAAATAGATCATTTCTTCTCTCTTCACTTTAAAATATATATATATATATATATACATACTGGAGCGCATAATCCAGCTTAAAAGGCATGCAGGGTGAAAACTTTTTATTCAAAGAGCAAATGGAATGTCTCGAACCACAAATGTATAAAATATATTTGAAAAATCATATTGAAATGGTAAAAAAACAAGATTAATTCCTACTGAAAAATAACTATTGGAAAATCACAGGTACAGTGGAGCATCGTTTATATGACGATCACTTATACAACGTTCACATTTATACGAAGTTTTAGTGTGGTCCCAAATCATTCCTAGTCATTTTAATGGAAAAATATATCGTTTATACGACACACAGAATCGCTTATATGCAGGGTTCGTGATTTTTTTTATTTAAATCAGATTTTTCTGATTTTTATTCAAACACATTGTAAGAACTTTAATTTATGATTAAAAATACTTTATAAATGTTTCATCAAATTTAAATTAATATTAAAACAATATTATAAGAATATTTTAGAAGCTCTAACTTACTAATATAATTTTTCATTACAATACATAGCTTTGAATGCATAGCAATCATTTTGAAACAAATGCATAATTGAAATTTGAAGACTAGATGAAATAGAGAATTTAATGGAAGTGGTCTGTCTAGGTTTTTCTGAGAGGTATTTATCTTGTGAAAATTTAGACATAATTTGTGAAAATAAAAATATTAAAAAATCAACAAAGAAATATGGATTTATTCGTTTCTTACGAAACACAAAAATAAAATTAAAAAAAAAAAAAGTATTTTGTGAAACTATTGTTTTTCCTTTGTTGATTTCCCAAGTTGAATTTGTGAAGGTACCCTAAGCAGTAGCAAATTTGGCTTGGACAGACTCTTTAACAATTAAATTAAAGTTTCAATTAGCAAACCATAATTTTAATTTAAAATTGCATTTCTTTTTTCTCTTGATTTTTAATGTGACAAAATAAATGTAACATATTGTGTTTATAAATGTAGTCATTCATCAAAAATTAAATAAATATTTAATCTATTTATTTTTGTATTAAAATATTCATTTTTATATACATCATTATATACATCAAAATAGATCAGTTAAAAAAAAAAATTTTAAAAATCTATGCACTCATTGGAATTTTTTTTCACAAAATTTCTTAATAGAAAATCTGATAATGTCAAATATACTGTAAACATCTTATGAGAAAAAAATACCAGTTACCAGTTAATAATTCTACTGCCTCAAATAGACTTTGAAAGGGAAGAATGACACTATATCAGGAAAAAATACCTGAATTCGTTAGCCTTTTTTTTTCTATTTTTCGCATATTAGGGTAATTTCTTTTTATTACAACCTCAAGCTTTAAAAATATACATTTTCCACCAATGAAATATAATGTAGATTTTAATTCCATGCTGTTTCAATCAAAAGGTAGAATTTTAATTAAGATTATTCGCATTTTTTTCTTCGAAATTCATGTCTATTAATTACTTTCTACAGCTATGTAATTCTATAATAAGACAGCATTTAATGTGTACTTTAATCTGTACTTTCAATCTCAAGAATCAAAAGATTTTTAAAAATGCAATTTCAAATGCGTTGGAATTTAACACACACCAAGAAAGAAAGTAATTTTGTTAACTAAAATTAATTAATGCAGCAATTTATTTAAAATAAATTTTAAAACTAAGAAAAGAAAATAATAAAAGTATCAATAATAAAAAACACTGTTTTTTAACTTTTAAAATCAATATATACATTGATTTTAAAATTGATATAAATCAGTTGATTTAAATCAATGATTTTTTAAAAAAAATCATTTGATTTAAATCAATGATTTTTAAAAAAAAATCATTTGATTTAAATCAATGATTTTGAAAAAAAAATCAGTTGATTTAAATCAACGAACCCTGCTTACATGTCGGTTTTTAGATTTTGTTCACGGTTATTTAATTATAAATTTTTTCGTTGCGTATTTTAAGAAAGGGCGGAATTTGCCAACATGAATGATACAGAAAAGGGTGCCATTAAGGATGCTTAGATAACGACCATAATTTTTACTAGATGACTGAAAAAAGTAGACAATGTTAGGAAGAGGCAAAAACGAAAAATTTTGCTATTCATCGATCAATATCCAGCGCACCCATCGGATACTAATTATTTTGGAAAATGTAAAAGTTCTCTTTTTTCCTGCAAACTGCCAAAGCGTGCTTCAGCCATTTGATTTGGCCGTGATTAGAAATCTAAAATTGCAGTATAGAAAGCAGCAAGCTCAATTCGCTATTCAAAGCATTGTAGAAACTAATACCAAGAAAATATAATTAAAGGTAACATACATTCAAATTGCTCACTGCAATTTTTCTTCTTTGGTTATTTGTTTGTTTTGCTTTGTCTAATTTAGAAATTTATGTAAATCAACACGTTAAACATTAAAATTAACTGAAAACAGAATTAGTTTCAGTTTTAGAAGTATAAGTCGAATATACGACGTTGTGTTTTATACGACGTTTTTCGGTGGTCCTTTCGGCGTCGTATAAACGATGCTCCACTGCATTTTTCAAAAAACCTGTGCAAATAGATCTCTCCGGGTTTTTTTAATTAAATTTTTTAACAAAAATATACATACTGGGGTAGAAAATCAAGCTCAAACGGCATGCAGGGCTGAAACGTTTCATTCAAAGGGCCAATGGAATATCTTGTCCCACAAACCCCGCCTAGAATGAACCCTGTGAACCTATTTACTTATGCTGTCGGATCTAATATTCAATAATTTTGAAAATAAATTTAGTACAATGGCTTGAAACACTGTGAGTATGACTTATGTTTGATATAAAAACTCTTTTACTTACACAATGTGACTTTTCACTTATATGGGTCATTGATGATTATGAAAAATTCAGAATATTTATAAAAACAAAAATATCCTATTAATTAATATGTAGGTAAGTTTGAAGTGTAAAATACAAAGCCATCTCTGGTAAAACCATAATATATCCTTTCTACATTAATTCGAAAATTGAAAAATTTCAGGCATAGGTATTACAGGTTTGTGAACTCAAAAATTTACCCTTATCATATGTAAAACTACTTGAGTAAATTAGTCTCGTTTACTTAGTACAAATATGTCAATATCATGAAGACATAGCTGTAATATAAATATATAAGTTCATTGAAAAAGCAATTTTCGAAAAATATTGAAGACAACAGCTTTTCAAAAATTAAACAAGCATAAACCAATTATATAATACAAAATAGTTAGATAAAACACGTAAGAACATCTTAAAATTGAAAAAAAATATCTGATAAAAGCCACAGTTTTATTTATTTATTACAACATCGCAATAATGTAGAAGAAAAAAATATAACATCAGAAATCGTATATTCAGCACAGTAATACACATTCAGCGCTACTTACTGTCAGATGGAAAATCAATAGATGCATTCATTTTGATTTTTTAAATAATTATAAATTTATTCCACTCGCTCTCATAAGCAGCTGATGCAGTAAAAAGGGTTAGAACAGATAAGCGTTGCGTTATAAGCCAAAATAAAAACATCAGAAGAAAAAGGTGTTTGTTTGGCACATTTCTTCAAGATCATAGCTGCTGAAGTTAACCTCATAAATTATGGACTCGATTAAACATGATAGATACTCTACTTCTCTGATCATCCTAAATTTGATTGCTCAACATAAGACACATGGTGTTCAATTATCTATTTGATTGGTTCATACGCTGGGACTTCTATCTCAAATATAAAAAAAAGATGTTGATTTTAATAGCATATTATGAGTGAGATGAAAGCGTAAATAGAGTGTTTCGACATTTGTTCTTGATCTGTCTCACACATCTTCATTTTTCGTCATCGTATGTTTGTTGATTGTTTAGTAAGTAAGTTAGCTATTATTTTATTTTTCTATATTAAAACAGTTTTAATTTGTATTCGATTAATTTTCATGAAATCATTTAATTAATAAATACAAAGTTATAGTTTCTAAAACAGCAGTTTAAGTTAGTGCAATTTGTATAAATAATTTTAAAGATCATTTTTGCTTCCGAATTTTAAACTAATTTTATACTTGTTAAAAAAAAATGGTTCTACCCCTTTAAACTTATAACACTTGGGATGATTTCCGACCTGCGTTTTATTTATTTTTTATGAAAATTTACAAATTTATTAAATTTGTCTCGCAATATCCATTTGGACGGAAATATCCTCCAACAAGTATATTTTAGATTTAGTTTATAGAATTAACAATTATTAAACATCAATTCGCTGGCACATAAGACTAGTCAATCTTGAGGTACCTTTTGATAGATGAAGGTTGGCATTGTCTTATATACTTGTGAATTGATGTTAAATAATTGTAGTGGTAGGTACGCCACACTATGGTACTCCATCATAGAATCGAGTTAACATATCTTATGTGCGTAACTACGACTATACATTTCCCCGCAGTAGTATTTTTTTTTCTAGAAGAAAAAAAATGGTTCTTTAGTAAATTGCAAGTGGTGGCTTATTAAAAAACATCTATATTCACCTTTTAAATTGAGATATTTAGTTGATATTGTTTTCAAGACATATATTGAAATTGTGGTAAACATTTTACTTTAAGAAATTAATAAATAAGTTTAATGTTGTACCTATCTTTTTTACGTTAAAAAGCTATTAATTATTTCTAAGACTTGTACATGGTGCATAGAAGTGCTTATTTTAGATTTTCGTTATTTAAAAGCCCTTAAAGGTGCTTTTTTTATTGGGTGTTTTTAAAAAGTGCTTTATTTTCCCTTTTCCCTTTCTTTCCCTTTTCGAAAATTAAATTTTTTTCTTTACCTTGTCGATTTATGCCACGTATTATGCAAAAGCATGCTTTTCACATTGTTCTATTTAACGTTTACACAATTCATTCAACCACAATCTATTTCGGTGAACCGTCGGTCCAGAGAGTATGAAAGCGCCAATCATTTTACATGTTTGATGAAATACTTGCGAGTCTTTATGTGCATATATACTGGGCTAGGTTCGGTGGGATTATTGCACTCTCATGTGCAACTCTGCTGCATTTTGCAAGATATTCTCAGTTTCAGGCTTCACTTTCCACCCACTGATATCGAACCGAAAAAATCTCTCGACCCAGAAGAATAATAGAATCCAGAAGAAGAGTTCTTTCTCAGAAACTAGTTATTTTATCATGATCATGTAAANTTTCGGTGTACCGTCGGTCCCATAGCGTATGAAAGCTCCAATCATTTTACATGTTTGATGAAATACTTGCGAGTCTGTATTTGCATATATACTGGGCTAGGTTCAGTGGGATTATTGCACTCTCATGTGCAACTCTGCTGCATTTTGCAAGATATTCTCAATTTCAGGCTTCACTTTCCACCCACTGATATCGAACCGAAAAAATCTCTCGATCATTTAATAATAGAATCCAGAAGAAGAGTTCTTTTTCAGAAACTAGTTATTTTATCATGATCATGTAAAGTCTTTGAAAATTATTTTTCATTTTGTTAATGTCTATAGTGCTTAAAAAGTACTTATTTTTTTTTTTTAAAGATTTTGCTACGCATACTGTACAGGGAAAATGCAGGGAATTTTCTTTTCAGATTTAAGTGGCAATTCTGAAAATGCCTTAGAATTGCTGCTTAAAAACACTTGAACACCACAATTTGGAAAAATATTGAATTTGCTTGTTAACAAAAAGATGAATTGTTTTCTATATACTGTACCTTGTTAAATTCAATGTTTCTGTTTTAGAGTAATAAATGTAGACAAATTTATTTTTAGATTAAGCAGCATGTCTTGTGTCACTGTAAACTCTGCGCCTATACCCTCTGTTGCAGCAAGTACTGTTTCGCAGAACATCATAACAGGGGTAAGCTTTTTTTTCCCCCAACATTTAATCGAAATGTTTATTTTGCAGGGCGCATAGCGTTTTTAAAAAGTGCTTAAAGGTGATTATTTTCATTTTTAAAAAGTGCTTAATTTCCCCTTTTCTAAAATAAGAATTTTTCTTCTTTACTATGTTGATTTTCGCCACATATTATGCAAAAGCGTGGTTTTCACATTGTTCTATTCAAAATTTTCACAATTCATTTCGGCGTACCATCGGTCCATAGCATATGAAAGCGCCAATCATTTTGCATGTTTGATGAAATGCTTGCGAGTCCGTATGTGCATCTACTGAGCTGGGTTCGGTGAGATTATTGCACTCTCATACGCAACTCTGCTGCATTTTGCAAGATATTCTCAATTTCAGACTTCATTCCCTCTGAAATCGAACCAAAAATCTCTAATATCTTTTTATGGAGGCTAATGTAATCCAGAAAAATAGTTCTTTGTCAGAAACTAGTTATTTTATCATGATCATGTAAAGTCTTTAAAAATTATAATGCATTTTGTTAATGTATGTAGTGCTTAAAAAGTACTTCTTCTTCTTCTTTTTTTTTGAAAGATTTGGCTACGCACTCTGTTTTTTCTATTGCATCTTTCTTTTTTAACAATGAAATAATATATTTTTAATAGACATTTTATTTTTATTTTCATTAATTATTTCTTTTTCGCTTGTTATAATTTTTTTATACGTTTCATTATGTACTTAAAACTTAAGTAACTTTTAAGCAATTACTATGCAAAGTTATTTTGAAGGAAAATGTGGTTCATGAAAATTGTATTAAATATAGTCTATTTGTATAACATTTTCACAAACCAAATGTTACTATGAATGCTAAAGAAAAAGTGTTGTTCATGTTTTATTTTATTCCATATGATTGCTGCGTTTCCGCTGAGCTACTAAGTATAGTTGCTGTGCACTGGAAATTGCCCTTAGAAAAATAATTACAGCAATAGTATCCAAAAAGTTTTGAACATAAAAAGGAGTTATTAGAGAAATGGTTTCATAGTGTCTTAAATATTCAATGAAACATATTTCTAATATTTAATCTTTAAATTCTGTGACAGAATTTTGTTTTGAACTTTCTGCTACTAACTTCTCTAGCACTAATATCTTTCTGCAAGCTACTATTAATAATAACAAATATACATGTTGGTAATTTAAAGGAGCAGAAACATTGTGCTTGCAAAGAAAACCCTATTTGGATAAAATAAAATAGTATATAATTTTTTTAAAATTAATATGTAATATTTTTTTATTCTAATATCATGGGCTATATTTTCTTTATTGGAAAATATATTATGTAAATGTATATTTTCTTCATAAAGTAAAATTCTTTCTGCAAGAACTCTGTAACGTACTGCGACAGTGCCGCCGTGATTCTGCCACAAAGCCCTAAAATACATTTTTATTACACAATATTTAATTATAAAAAAGCATTTACTAAAATAAAAAAATTCCATCAATAGCATGTTAGTAACATTTGTATATTATGAAAAAAGTAAAATTAAAATATCAAGCTGAAAAATTATGATTTTTGTTCATAAAATAAGTGTCAACATTAGACTTAGATAGATTTTAATAGTTCAAGTTGATGACAGTTAATCAAAAATTAAAGTAGATCAGGTTAACAGTGCTGAAGATTATATACATATGTTTTCAATGCTTAGAGATTTTAATCCAAAAAAATTTTTTTGATTGTTATTTGAAAATTTTTTACATTAAATTATTTTGTTAAAACATTACACCCCAACTGACCTATTTTATTTTAAAAGTAAATGTTTGAAGCAACCTAAAGGTACAGTGTAGCAATAAATTTTTATTAATATATTTATCATTCTGTGAAAACTGTGGTTACTACATTTTTATAATTAAAGTTTGAATTTAATATATTTAACACTCTGTTATAGCATGTTTATCAATATTTGCCAAACTACATATAGCTCAGTGCTTGCATGTAACCAATTTGAGAAGATTATCTCCTTCTTTTGAGTATATACTGGATCAAAAGTTTATTGGGATTTTGACAAATTGAAAACATATTTTGGTAATAATATTCAACAATTTGCAAAATTGCAAATAGTTCAATGCTTACATGTCACTAATTTAAGAGGAAAGTCTCTTTCTTCTGACAATGTATTTTGTTAAAAGTTTATTGAAGTTAACTGGTAAATTGAAGTTATATTTCATTATTGTTTGGTTTCTGGAGACTATTAAAAAACCTATTCTTATGTTAGTAAATTAAGTACCCATTGACACAGTTACCTATTTCCAACACCACCTATTATCATAATTAAGTAAGCGTCACTGTTGCCAATACCTTCAGAAACAGAATAGTACCCATATTTCTTTGTATATAAATTTTGTAAAAATGGTTCATAAATTATTTTTCCAGGCCAGTAGTCTAGCTACAGGGAACATAACTACACAAAGTACAGTAAGCACTCCCATTACCACTCAAAACTCAAATAGCACAGCTATAAATGTCAACATGTTGCCTCCTGATAGCTCTGCTCAAGTACATCAGGTATATATTATAGTACAACATAAACTGATTATTTTGTTTAAACTATATATGTAAGCAAAAAGGATAAAAAGAAAGAAGAAAATTAAGAACATTAATTAGTTTTATTTGCTGTTCATAAGCTGCAAGTATATAGAACTCATAAAATAAGTTGAAAACATGGAGAAATTGAAGAATAATAAAAAGAGAAGAAGAAAAAGAAAAAAAAAGAAAATGTATAATCTCTTCATCAACTCACGCAAAAAGGTATAATCTCTGATGAAGAGATTATATCTTGTAATTTTTTTGTTTTTCGGCTTTTTAATAATTTTTTTCCTTCTTTTTTTATTATTCTTCAGTGTAACTCAAATAACACAGCTATAAGTATCAACATGTAGCCCCCTGATAGCACTGCCCAAGTACATCCTATATTGTACTACAGCATTAAACTGATTACCTTGTTTAAACTGAATATATTACTTGCATAATGTGGAAAAATCAAACTTTTTTTAAAACTCAAACAAAGTTCTTAAAATCTGATACCGTCTAACCTCATCAATGGCACTTGTGTTCTTTTATCGAACACAATTAATGTTCAGTTTTATTAATATTCATAGTTTATTCTTTCAAGGTAGATAGTTCTTCTATATGTTCTTATATTTTCAACAACTCTTTAAGAATGATCGAAACAGAATTAATGTTTAGCTGAATAAATGAAGAAAAAAATTTAGTTATTACTTTTTTAACAGATCCAAGGGTATATAAAAAAAATGAAATTTGTTTATTTTAATAGCAAAAAAAAAAAAAAAAAAAAATTTAAAAAGAGAGATAGATATGGGTCTTTTTACTGTGCTTACATTTTTTGTAGAAACTAATTTAAGATCTCTGTTTTAATCACCCCTTATTGTTTTATTTAATTTTTGTAATTAGATTTGTTTTTTTAGGTTCTCACTAAACAGCGCCTCCAAGATTTAGTAAGGGAAGTTGACCCTAATGTACAACCGGATGAGGACGTTGAAGAGGTAGATTATTTTATATTAATCGAAATTTGATGATTTATGCTTAGAATGGTGTTAACCCCTTAACGATTGGTTAATTTTCAAGAAAACGGTCATAAAAGTACCTATTTTGCCAAATACACTTATTTAATTAATGCTGACATCTAGTTTAAAATAAACTAACTATCTACAATTACCTTAAAAATATCCTGGTACTGCCATCTGGTGTGTAAAATGAGAGATAAAATTTTTTCCGGGCAAAAGAAATTTATTAGTTTTATTCTTATTGGCGTGTTACTTCTGAACACTCCGTCATTTTCACGGGAGCAAGAAGGAAAGGGTTAGGACTGAATTATTTATCCCTGGATCTCAAAACACCATGGGAGAAAAGAAGCGTCAAATACTCCATTCCTCAATTGAAAAAGCGCTAGGACCATTCAAACCCCATACTCGTTGCAATCTATGGGGAAAAAAGGAGCTCTTCTACAAATAGGTATCACCTGTTTGGTCAGTTAGTGTGATGTGGTTAGCGTAACCCGTCACTTACCAGGCCATATTAAAGCAAGCTTTTTTTATAAAATGAAATAACAAGGCTGTCCCTCTGTAAGATTTACAGGAAATCGAAATTCGAACTATTATTTTAAACGTTATTCTAATAGTCTTTAATTTTTTTAATTAAAATTTTTTTTTTCTCTGTGAAACTTTTTTTTGTATGACCCAGTCAAAAATTTTCTCATAGTGAAGATAACTTTGAGTTATCTTCACTTTGAGTTATCTTTGAGTTAACTTTGAGATAACTTATCTTAACTTATCTTGAGTTATCTTTGAGATAACTTTGAGTTATCTTTGAGTTATCTAATGTATGTTTTTATTAAATCCAAGTTGAAATTTAATGATGGACAATGATTTTTAAATTTGGATAAAATTTTAAGCCCAATCAATAACTAAGTTGTTTTTGAACATATGGGGAAAATATATATAAAAATTTACCAGTCATAAGTAATTTTTAGTTGTAGTGGCAATGTTTGAAAATATTTTCTTATTTTAACATATTTTTGTGTTGAAATTTTAATAATTTTCACAAATTATGTGTAATTTTTTACAAAATAGGTACTTCTTAAAAAAAACCTAGACAGACCCCTGTATTTATTTAAGTTAATAAAATAGATTTTTTTTCTGCATATTACTTAAAAGAGTTCATAGTTTTACTATAAAAATCAGTGGATAATGTGACAATTGAGTAACTTTTTGAGGAAAGGTTTTATACACCACAAAGTTTTATACACCAAACTGTTAAATTTTATTTATACACTAATGAATAAAGATAAATTTTTCTTTTAAATTTTTGTTAGCTGCTTCTGCAAATAGCTGAAGGGTTTATTGATGATGTGGTCAGTACATCTTGTTTCTTAGCAAAACATCGAAAGTCTTCTGTTCTGGAGGTGAAAGATGTGCAGTTAAGCTTAGGTAATTTATTTTTAAGTTGAATTTTGTACATTGTCTCTTAACAATGGGCCCTGTGGCAGAATTTTTTCGGGCTTTCTGCGACATAGTACCTCTATAATACTAATATCTGTAACAGGGCGTGTAGTGTTTTTTAAAGGTGCTTATTTTCGATTTTTAAAAGCCCTTAAAGGTGCTTTTTTCATTGGGTGTTTTTAAAAAGTACTTAATTTTCCCTTTTTCGAAAATGAGATTTTTTTCTTTCCCGTATAAATTTGTGCCTGGAATTACACCAAAAGCGTGGTTTTCACGTTGTTTTATTCTATGTTTTCATAATTCATCCAACTACAATATATTTCGACATACCATTGGTTCACCAATCTTTTTATGAAATACAATAGAGAACCATTTATCCGGTATCCAGAAAACCGGAAAAAATTTTGCTCGCTTTTGCCGCCATTTTAAACTAGAAAGATTATGAAAAGAAGCAAAAATTGGACTCAATCTCGAAGTTTAGTACAGGAAAATGTGAGGAAGGGGCCGCCATTTTAAACTAGAAAGATTATGAAAAGAAGCAAAAATTGGACTCAATCTCGAAGTTTAGTACAGGAAAATGTGAGGAAAGGGAGAATTTTTACCCCCGTTTACCCAGAGAAACGTCGTTTCTTTCATGACCTTGAAGATCTTCAGATAGAGAGGAGGCAGGGAAGGGATGAATGTTTTATTTTCCCCTTTAGGCCGTCAATCAAACTCAAAGGAGTGGCATGCTGATTTTGTTTTCTCTTTGATTTACGAGGGGGTGGGGAAAATGCATTGCACAGGCATATCAGTGAACAGAAGATGAAAGAGAAACATATACTTATCTATTTGACATCGATTAATAAAAATAAAATATTTTTCTTTTGAATAAATTCTGATTCTTTGGAAGTGCAGTATCATTTGCAAGTTTTTCTTGATGTGGGATCACATCTGCTTTCGTTAAAAATCGTGTTTTTATAAAAAATAAAAGGAGAATTGTTTATTAGTTTAAACATACGATTATTTTATGAAGTAGATTGCAGTTTTGTTTTTCCGAATCCACTACATTTTGAATTTTTTTTTTCCTTTTCACGATAAATTTCGTACTAAATAAATTAATTCTTTTTATTCTTAAATTTTATCATTAGTTTTTTTTTCTCCTTTTTTTAAAAATTTCGTTGATCTTATTGATCTCGCCTTGTTCCGAGATTTAATATTTATGTTAGTGCCTCTTTTAATTATCATTTCAGTTCGATAATTTTCGTTGTTTTTATTTAGATTAATAAGTTTTCCTTTTATTTTATCGTTTCCCCCCATGTATGATTAGGTATGAAATATATTGCGTTATTTAATCATTGGCTTTGTTAATATTACTTAATTTAGGAATTGTAATTATTTTTAAAAAATAAATATGAGAATTTTGTATTTTTTAAACTTGTTTTTCTTGTATGAACTTGCAATTTTTTTTTATTCTTCTAGATGTTATTTTTCTACCATTTTTTTTTTTTAAAATTAAGGAGTACTTTTCTTTTTTCTCTTACTATAAAATGTGTTACACTTTTTACCTTGTAATTTGGGTTAGATAAAACATCGATTAATGACACTTTTTGGTTGATCCAGAAAACCGGGAAATTCAGACATACAGGATAGCGATGGTCCCGAGCATCCCGGATAATTGGTTCTCTACTGTACTTGCAGGTTCGAATACTGATCTGAATTTGGTTGGAAGGATTTGTGCATGAGCAACTCTGCGCATTTTGCATCTTTTTAAATAATAGTTAAATTAATTATTTATAATTTTGAATAATTCCTTTTACACATAATTGTGTGAATTATTAATTTAAAAAATTGAATGATTCACTCCATATGGAATGTATTTAAAATTGTGCATAATTTCATTTTATGGTGACTAATATAATCACGACAAAGAATTCTTTGTCAGAAACTAGTTATTTTATCATGATTATTTTTATCAACTTAGAAAATTATTTTGCTTTTTGTTAATTCTTTGTAAGAAACTAATTATTTTATCATGATTATTTTTATCAACTTAGAAAATTATTTTGCTTTTTGTTTACAGAAAAGAAAAAAAATTATTAGTGTACATATCCTAATTATAATATTTTTTTAAAGTGCTTAAAAATATTTTTTAAGTACTTAAAAGGTACTTATTTTTTATTTAAAAAATTTGACAATGCATCCTGTGTAAGATATTTTTTAAATGACAAATATGCATGCTACTAATTTAAAGTAACAGAAGCATTAACTTTCAAAGAAAGAAAAAACTGTTTAGATCAAATAAAATAATTTTTTTAATTGAATATGTACAATTTTTTTTTATTCTAATATTATGGGCAATATTCTTGTATTTTGTAAATCATCATGACATCAAAAATTTTTTTTAAAAAAATCGCGAAATCTATAGCAGTAACTATCAAAAAAAACATTGAAAGCGAAATCACATGAATCGGATTCTTCAAAATGGGGTAACTAAATGCGTGTTTTTATTTCAAGATTCAGTTGTAATCAATAATATTGTATTAAAAGCAAAGAATAGAGAGGATATAAAAGTATCGGATTTTAAAAGCTCTGAGGAAATCAATAGTAATAACTACATAAAAAATATAGAACAAAAATTTCTACAAAAAGAAAAGCAAATTTTTTTTTTACTTTCCAAAGGAAAAATCTTGCTGCAAAAACTCGGTAACGTTCTGCAACAATGTCACCACAATTCTGCCACGTGGACAATGGGATGCACAGATTAAAAATGTACATTATTTGATTTTCATATACACTACAACCTCATATTAAGTACATTATATACAGTTTCCTCGTGTATTACAGTAGTTTTGGCGTAATGCTTGTTCTAGAATCCTTGTTCATATAGAGGGTTGCCACTCCACAGGGAGATCAAAAAAACCTGGAAAATACAGGAAATTTAAAAATCACCTAAAATAACAGGAAAAAAGCAGGGAATTTTGATTATTTTTTTCTTTACAAACTGGGAAAATACAGAGCAACAGGAAACAAATATGAAAATACAAAACAAAATTCCCTGCATTTTTCCTGTTATTTTAGCTGACTTTTAAATTCCCTTTATTTCCAGGTTTTCTCTGATCTCCCTGTAGAGTAGCAACTCTGTATTCGAACAAGGATTCTTGAACAAGTTTTTTTCTTCTTATTTTCGTCATTTAAAAATTATGACCACTCAAAGCGTAATCTATGGGATATTTAAATATGTTCAGCTGTTACTTTTTTTTCCAGCAATTAAAACGAATAAACATAGTTAGCCCTATATAGCTGACACAAAAGCACAGTAATTGTTGTGTTTCCTCTCAATATATTGTGTATAATCAGGGGTCGGTCCAGGCCAAATTTACTACCATTTAGCGGTATCTTCTCAAATTCATTACTTTAGGAAAAACGGTAGTTTCACATAAATACTTTTTCTTAAAATTTTATTTTTGTATCCCATAAAAAACAATAAATCCATATTTTTGTGTTGATTTTTTAATATAATTTTTAATTTTCACAAGTTATGTCAAAATTTTCACAAAATAGGTACCTCTCAAAAAAACCTAGACTGACCCCTGATGACATATAGAGGGATAACACAAGGAATTTTTTTTCCAGATTTGAGTGGCAAACCTAAAATTCTAGAGCTTATTCTAGAAGCTCTCTTTCACTGTATGTAGATAGCATAGGACACAATAACGTTGTTTGATAAGTAATGGAATGCACAATTGCATTTCTCATGTTTAATATAAATAATTTATTTATTCACTTAAACATCTAGTAGTTTTTTATAACTCTAAAACAGAATAAGTAAATTCTACAAACTTAATTGTACCCTGTTGCTGTCATTAAAAGTAGTATTGCTAATTTAGCAATATAAATGACATTGATAATAAAATTTATTAATAATTATGGTTATTAATGACTTAGTTGTTAATATTATTTTTAATATTTATTAATGCAGGAAGACTTACTCTAAGACTACAAAGTTACAAAGTATAAAAGAATAATATAAACTCAATTAACTTTGAAAAAATTAAACCCAGTGGATTTTTTTTCTTAAAAAAAAACCCATGTTTCTTACAATTCTGATCCAAACTGATATGGATAATTGGTGCTCTGTTGTAGTAGTAGTTTCCACACAATAAAAAGATAGAAGAATTGTTTCTTGCTGTTGCTGTGAGTGCTTTAATATGAATTTTAAACTATTTTATTTTTAGAGAAAAATTGGAATATGTGCATTCCGGGATTTGGCTCGGAAGAGTTGAGACCCTACAAGAAGTCTTTTAGCACTGAAGCTCACAAACAGGTAATAATTTATTTAAATAGTGATTATTTTAAAAATAAAATAACTTTTGTCTTGGAGGATGTATTGCAAATGATTTGAAAGAGTCATGGAGGCTTAGGGGAGAGAGTGCTCGCCTCCCAATGAGGTGAACCGGGCTTCGAATCCCAACGGTGGCTGATCGATACAAATTCTGCACCCGGCTTGCACCGACCACAGTGCTGAGGTAAAATATCCTCAGTGGTAGATGGATCATGGGTTTGTGTCTCCTAGTCATCATGCTAACTGTGAGAAGTTTTTGTGGTTTTCCTCTCAATGCAAATGCAGGTTAGTTCCATCAAAACGTCCTCCACCAACGCAAATTTCTCCCAATACTTGATACAGGAGTTACTTTGTCTTCTGGATTCAGTTCCAAATTAGAACATTGGTAGTCCTAAACCCTAATTGGGTCATATGTTCAGCGACGGCAAAATATTCTAATCGTTAAAATTATTTGTGGGTTTTTTCCTCAGAGTTTTTTTTTTGATTAAATTAACAATTATCCAGAAAAGGACTTAAAAATTGTTATTAGCATGTTATATATTTTTTATTAGTTCTATGGTTTTCCACTCTCTTGCTACAATGACTGTACAGTTTCAACTGAAGAACTTAAATGCAAAAAATTTAAATGTAAGAGTAATTAAAGTGTTTTTTTAAACTAAAATGTAGAGAATTATTAATATTTCATCACAAGATTCAGATTGCACAAAAATAAAACTAATTCCAATTTTTTATGAAATCAAAGCAATGGAATATGCATTAACTAAAACTTATATAAGTTAAAATAATGTCTAGATTTTGGTGTAATAATTTTTAAATAATCTACTTATTTGGTATTTTTTATTCAACTGAAAATATATTTTTCTCAAAAATCTTTTACAAATGCCATTGCAATTTTTTTCAGAGAATGGCCTTGATACGAAAAACCCTGAAGAAATAGAAGATTTTTGGATCTTTGTATACAAGATTCTATGTATTATTTATTTGTATAAAAATAAAATGTTTATTTAAAAAAATAAAATTCTCTACAAAATAATTTACTTTTGCCAAAATGTTTTTCTTTTGATTATTCATATATTTCCTTTGCAGTGAAGTTTTTTTGTGAACTGGTTAGAATGACTTCACATTTAACCACTTAGTCATACATATTTGCTACTATTAAAAATTTCTTTCAGTAAGGTATTAGTACTAGAGAGGATTACCGCAGGAAGCTCGAATAAGTTCTGCCATAGGGGTACCTTGAGGATATTGTGACAAAGTTTTGCACTAGAACCAGACAATAAAATACTTTTGATAATAGGAAAATTTACTATAATTTAGTAGAAAATCAATACTCAATGCAAATAAGTCTTATTATATACTCACATCACATTTATTTTCTTTTACATGAATAAATACTAATTTACACACGGATGGTTTAAAAAAAAGGAGGGGTTTCAGTTGTCCAGTTGGCAGAGTAGTGCAGTTCCTCTTTTTATCCAATGTTCTGGTGGTTTGTCTGTAGGGAGGAGAAAATGTAGAACATAATTTGTAGAGTGACCTGTAGTTGACAAAGTGCCCCTTCTTTCACTTGTCTTATATAGTGGAGACCTTAAAAAACAACACATTTATAGAAATTGAATTACATGATAAAAAATTTCAAAGTATCTGAGAAACAGCTTTTAAATAGATATTAACAATTTCAGAAGCCATCCAAATTATTTTTAAAAATTATATAAAATACCAGAATTGTAATAACAAAGGTTTTTACCTATTCAGAGACAATTGTGCTCCGGAAAAAATCCGGATTTTTCGCAAACCGTGTTCTGGAAATCAAAGGTCCAGAAATTTCAAGAAATCATCATCCCATTTATGTATAAAAATTCTTGTATATTTTATTAAAAATATTAGAACTAGAATTTATACTTGACATTTTCATTCGTTAATATTTTTTCTGGTAAAATAATAAAAGTGATTAGAGATAAAAGTAAACATATAAAGAATTATTCATTTAAATTATGCTGCATATAATTTATTTAGAATTTCATGTTTTGAAAATATCAATGATTTAAATTTATGAAGATATTAATTTTTTGAAATGCGTCATTAATGATTTACTTAAGAAATTTTCAGGATTTTTGAGTTGGACTCACAATCACCCCTACCTATTAAATGGCATGGTTTTTAATCAAACACTATCTTGAAAAATATAAAGATCGTTACAGTATGGGGGGAAACTGATGATCTAACTCCTCGTGGTGCACTCCGGTAACATCCTAGACAGCTGAAAGATCTTTTCAGCATGCAAGACTCGCAGTAGGCCATGACTGCCTGACGAACCAACTTCACCAAATTGCCATTTTAGCGGGTTCTAATTGCCCACTTTGTGGTAGAAACGAAATCATGGACAGGAACAATGCACGGCTTCGAGTGGGGGCTCCGAGGTGAAGTGATACTGGAGCTCTTAACATCTGCCAATGGGACATTGACATTTTTCTCTTATTATGTTCTTTTTTATTCTTGTTTTTTGTTAACCTTATACAGGGTGGGTGCGTATCCAAATCTTTCAACAAAAAATAAGCACTTTTTAAGCACTATATACATTAACAAAATGCAAAATAATTTTCAAAGACTTCACATGATCATAATAAAATAATTAGCTTCTGACAAAGAACTCTTTTCTTCATCAAACATGTAAAATGATTGTCGCTTTAATACGCTATAGACCGATGGTACGCCGAAATGAATTGTTAAAATGTTGAATGTGAAAAGCACGCTTTTGCTTAATATGTGGCGAAAATCGACATGATAACGAAAAAAAATCTCATGTTTGAAAAGAAAAAAATAAGCACTTTTTAAATACACCCAATGAAAAAAGCACCTTTAAGAGCTTTTTCAAATATCGAAAATAAGCACTTTTTAAAAAGGCTACGCATCATATTATAAGAGTTAGCCATTGGAAATAATAAAAAAAAATCATTACACTATAGAGGTGCAGCCACTGACCAAAATTTTTAACTTAACTAAAATTTTGATTAAATTATTTTTTTTTTTTTTTTTTTTTTTTTTTTTTTTTTTTTTTTTNTTTTTTTTTTTTTTTTTTTTTGCTTAACAAAGGGTTAAACTAATATTCTGAATTTTAACAATCACCCAAAAATAAAAATTACGACAGTTAAATCATATTTTTTAATTCCATTGTGAATTTTACATTGGCTTCAAAAATTTGTCACGTGATATCAACAGAATGCAAAAACTTAATAAAAAATGTGCCAAGATACATTTTTTTCTTAACACAATGAGACAACTAACTTCTCTTTGGAGTGACGGCATAGGTAAAAATGTTTTATAGTTTGTCAAAGTAAGAACTCCCCTAGCCATTCATGTAGAGGTACAACTATTTCAAGTTTGGGTGTGGGGTCACTGTTTAGAACAGGTTTTGGCTCGGTTCAGCAAGAGAAAGGGAACCTTTTTCTTCGGTCTATTGTGTTAGACCTAGAGTAAAGAGAAACTACTCTCCCAGAAATGCGCTATTCTTGTTTCCATAGCAGCAGATGGCCTCAGACGTGGCTGGGGGAGTTCTTACTGTAGACAAACTATAGCATGAATTTTTGAATATAGTCTTGTTTAATGTAAAATTGCTCGCATTTCATAACTCTAATTTGTTTAAGACTGTATAAATTTGAAACAAAAGTAAATGAAAGTACTGATGCTTCCTGGGTAGTTAGTTCTTATTCTTGTTTTTAATTTTGAAACTGCCTGATTATTCCTATATGTTTTATTTTATACATGAAAATATAATTTTTCCGAAGATAGAACATTTGAATCAACATTCCTACCATCGACATAGAATGAACAATTATACAGTTTGCTTTCATCTTCGTTTAAAAATTTATTAATTTTGTAATACCAAAACTTTTAACGCATTGTTTAAATGTAAATTAGTTTGGAAATTAGAAAAACGTTACTAGTTATGTAGCCATTTTTACAATAACAAGGTTTGTAAATATGCGATTTCACTTTTATTTGAATTTGAAAATATATGGGCATTCTATTCTAATTTATATTTTGTAAACAACAAAAATCTTGGAATTTAGGCATGTGTGATTATGTGTGCATTTTTTACAAAAAAAGTTCTCACTTGTAGCGTTGCCCTTCCACTATGTTTGCTTTCATGTCTGGTAGAAGCCAAATAATAGGCATAGAATATGAGAGAACTTTAGGATCTTGTTCAGCTAATAGATTTCTGTAGGAAAAGTAAACAGTGTTTAAACTATTATTGATTACTTGGAAAATAATTATCTAAAGTATTCATTTAAAGGATAAAATTAACTTGTGATAAAATATTTTAAAAAATGGACATATTAACACAGAAAAAAAAAAGTTAAAAATATATCAACAATTTTTGATAGGCTTTGCAATTATAATCAGTGTTATATATTGAATATCTATTAATTCAATTCCTACTATTAGTTCACTATATCTTGTTCAAATTTTCAATTGTTAATAAAATACTTTTAATTCTTCCACTCAAGTTAAAATCTATTTTTTGAACTCGTAGTGGATGACACTTGATGTTAATACAGTGTTTTCAAATATCAATTCATTAATTAAATTTAATTAATTCAAATTTCATATGGGAGAAAATTTTTTAAAATTATTTAATAAAAAGTAACTAAAATAAAAGTTTTCTTTATTGACCCAAGCAGAAAGAACATTTACAAAAGTTTGTTCGGCTAACTAATTTACATACACAAATTTTATACACCTTTTTTTTATTTGTATATCACCGATTGTACAAACAGCACTTAAAGAATCAGCCATGAGGGCAGAGGGTCAACTGACATGATGTAGCCACCTGGGTTTTGATTTTTGGGGCGAGGCTTGAAACTTACCCAGTTTCAGATAAGTGGGTGATAGCTTCTCTTCTATATAATAGCGGTTCTATGTATATGGAAAGCTGACCACTAACAGAGTGGCCACATCTGGGAAAATTTAAAAAGTGGTAGAAAAATATTAGAGAAACAAATAGATTTTACTTATTCCTATTTAATTCTATCTATATTTGTAAATTAAAGGAAAAATATTTCGATGATACAACTGACCTAAAAGTAAAGAGAAAATTAAAATTATCAAAATTTTCAACAGCCTTAAGAAATATTCGTTACCACTATATTTTTTTTGGGTTGCAGCAACACACATCATGTCATTAGTTGTGAAGTTGTCAGAAGTTGATTTAGGGGTTAAAAATTTAATAAAAAACATTCAAAACTATGACATCATTATTAAGGTTAGAGCAAAGGCTGGAAATTAGAGCAAAGGCTGGATTAATTACGTAGGTACTTTATTTATGTTGCACTACAGCTGCACAATGGTTATTGGCAACAGTCTTAGAAACATCCCAGAGGATGATCTGAAGAAATGCTATCGCAATTTTGATTCTCTGCATAGGGAATGGCTCCCCTGCTTTGGTAGCCCGACAACCTAGGCATGAAGTCGAGCACTTTACGCACCATTGGTCCCTACGCAGGATGATCAAAGTGGTCACCCACCCGCTTACTGACCGCAGCCATGTTCTACTGGGATTGTCTGATGTCTTTACGATTAGTCCACTGCGGGATCAAAGGCTGGATTAAAATAACTTAGAAGTAGTTCGAATATTACATTATATATTTGTAAATTGTTTATAACTTATAACTGAATTTTCTAAAATAATAATAATAATAATAAAAATACAATATATACAATCAGAATATTGTTATTCTCATTGATGTACAGTCCGCAAAAAAAAATATCACCCTGAATAACTTTCGTTCTAATGATCGGATTTTCACGAACTAAGTGTCAATCTTAATGGTTCCTGGGGGTGACTTCAAATATGCTAATTAATTAGTGCTAACTATCAATTAAGTTACGAAATCAGACACAAAAACGTACTTTCTCTGAATAAACATATATTTTTCTTTACATATTTAGATTTTTAACCTTCAAAATATAGGGGGTAGCCGCAATCTGGGAAATATGGTCCCCATAGTTTGGTCAGGAGAGCGATCCAAAGTTCGCACCCCTTAATGTTAATTTCACTTTTTACGTTTTTAGTCATATTTTTTAAACTATAAAAGCAATTCAAAGAAAATTGCACCCACTCATTAAACTCATTTACCCAAAGATAATTTCATGAAAAAAATAATTTTTAATAATTATTAATTATTTCTTATTATTTAATTAAATTCAGGATGATAAAATTTTTAATTATAAGGAATGAATTTTTTTATACCATATTAATCTATATATTTTTCAATTGAAAAATCTAAAGTTTCAACTGTTTTTATTTATTAGAAGCTGAGAAAAATTAAAATTAATTATTTTTAAAAAAATAATTTGACGACAATAAAGAAATAATTAAATGGGGTGATTAATATTAAAATGTGATAAATTTGCGAGGAACTTGACTTCGCACGTGTAGCATAAAATTTCATTCATATTTTTTTTGCTAATAATCATTTGCTAATCTTTTTATTTTTATTTCTTTCAAACTATAAAATTTTTTAGTCGTTTAATAATTTATTTGCAATTTTGTAAAGAAATTTGAATAAAACATTTTGAATAAAAAACACTTTATTCAACGAATGTCTAACTTTATTAAAGTGTGCTTCTGATAGAATATGATTATACACCAGATTGTGCTTATTTAATGTGATTATTTTTTATTTTTTGACTTTGTTTTGCAGTAACAGATAAATTTTAATAATATACATACGTATACATAGATTTGGAATAATATATTTATCAATTTCTTGAATATATATTTTATAAATATTAATAAAAATATGTAGTCAACATTTTTAAGCATCTCTCACAAAACGCAAATTTCTCAACATCTTATAGGGTAAACTAACCAATGAAGGAACACTTAAGCTTAGCTTGTCTTTGAAAAAAAATTCAAAACTTGTAATTTTAACTAAATGATGGTGTCAATATTAATGCAAATTATGTAAAAAAAATTTAGATAACTGACATAATAATGTTTTAAGCATTTGGTGGTTTAAATAATAAGTATTAAGATAACCAAGTGAAGGAACAGTTCTTACCAGTGAATAAACACATAAATTTTCCAGTGAATGAACACTTAATTTTGAGAATGTTTGATGCTCGTTAGGAATCCATAGGCCACACAAATGTCTAAAAACAAGATTTTTTTTGGAATTACAACATATAACCACAGTTAACTTGGAAAATGTAACTTTTTTTTTCAGTCATGGAATGGAAAGTAAAATATGGATAATACTTATGGAACCAATTGTTTTTGCAACTAACAATGCCTCAAGAGGACTTATCTCAAAATCAGTTTTCAAGATACTTTCATTATCAATGTTAGTTGTATCAGCTTCAGTGCCAAGATTTGATTAACCAAATGTTCTTTTTGAAATAAATTCCATATTGAGAAAAGCACAGGCTATTGGATATTTGGGAGATTAAACTTTTCTGTCAATGTTCCCTTAAAAATTTGCAACATAACTTGTGAAATTTCCTTCTCAAGCTTCTGAAGACATAGAGCATCGTTACTCTCGAAGCATGTGTTTTGTTGATAAGCTGTCTTGCACATTAATTTTCCCACCATTTCCCGTCAGGACATTAAAGACTGCAATAAGATAATAATTTAGCTAATTATTGGCACAAAAGCGTGCAAAGAAATTTTCCATTCAAGCTTTTATTATTATATTTAGTCAGTAAACATAGTTTATTAAGGTGTCTAAGGTATGATGTAATAACTAATTACTACATTTATAAAGATAAATAATAAANAAATAATTAATAAATTATTATTATAATTCTTTAAATAAATTTAGCAATTAAATTTGCATTCTGAAATGAAATTGCTACAGGAACTATTCATACAACATTTAACTGAAATTTAGGTATCCTCTATGTTGCAGAACTACTAATTATCCATGTAAAATCACATTTCACACATACTGCTCATTCACTGGTTAGAAGTTGTTTTTTGTATTTTTAACATAATTTTGATGTATAATATGTCAAAAGGTACAAGAAAATTAAAATTTTTCTTTTATTTTCATTAACTTGAAAAAATCCCAGTAAAGGAGCACTTGGAAACATAGTAAAGGAACACACACTTCTTTGGTTTTTCATCGTTTTGTAATCCAGTTAATAAACACCCTCTAATCTCAGTACTTGCTTATGTTATGATGCTTAAAATAAATAAAACGTAACTTCCACAACCATATTTTGAATTCTTTTTTTCACAATGAAAAAAAAAGCATTATTATATGCAATTAATTGTACTTCAAACGGATAACTACAAACACTGACCTTATAATTTTGTCAAAGAAACAAGGCGTTGAACAGATACTAACAAATTCAAAACTTTTTCCAGAGAAGACTCTAAGACCAAGTAACTCAATGCATTGTTAGATGACTTCCTATTGTTAGGTAGTAAGCTACTGTTACCAATCAATCTAACTTCAAACGCTTAAAATCTTATTTTTAAAAAATATCTATAAATGTTCCTTCACTGGTTGGTTTACCCTATATCGTGTTAATCTTAAAAGAAATTTCCGGGAGTGTTTCGCAGAACTATTTTACCAACTATTCAATTAAATTTTAACATTTTTAAAAATCTTATTCTTTACCCTTTTACGTTTATTATTTCTTCAGTAATATACAAATCAATTTTTTTTGTACTTTAATTTAGGTTTTCCTTAAAGTAAAGTTCCTTTTTAAATTATAGTCAAGTTTTTTTTAAAAAGAATTATTGTCTGCTAGCTAAGAATAAAACCTTGTTAAGAAATGAAAAACGTTCTGCTGTTTAAAATTATTTAATGCAAAACAGCTGATTATTTACTAAGCATACTATTTTTTTTTGAAAAAAGAATATAAATTAATGATTGTCTTTTTTTAGTTTCTTGTGACTTCAACATAGATTATCTAAAATAGTGTTGATGTTTTATAAGTCACTACAAAGAGTATTTATAGTGATTTCGTAACTTAATTAATAGTTAGCACTAATTAATTAGCATATTTGAGGTCACCCCCAGTAACCATTAAGATTGANATGTAAGCATGTTAGAATTATAGTCAAGTTTTTTTAAAAAGAATTATTGTCTGCTAGCTAAGAATAAAACCTTGTTAAGAAATGAAAAACATTCTGCTGTTTAAAATTATTTAATGCAAAACAACTGATTATTTACTAAGCATACTATTTTTTGTGTGAAAAAAGTATACAAATTATTGATTGCCTTTTTTTTGTTTCTTGCGACTTCAACATAGATTATCTAAAATAGTGCTGATGTTTTATAAGTCACTACAAAGAGTATTTATAGTGATTTCGTAACTTAATTAATAGTTAGCACTAATTAATTAGCATATTTGAGGTCACCCCCAGTAACGATTAAGATTAACACTTAGTTCGTGAAAATCTGATCATTAGAACGAATTTGATTCGTTCTAATGATCAGAGTGTGATTCGTTTTTTTTTTCCTCGTTTTTTTTCTCTTTTTTTTTGCGGACTGTACATAGATATTCATGAATGAAAGTAATGGTACTTTTAATTGCTGACAGAAACAATACTATAGTGAGTATTTACCTTTTTATATCCCACTTTGCACCATCTAAGAATAAACCAATGATGTAAACACCATCATCAGGTGCAGTATCTGAGGCCTCAGCTCTCAAGACCTACACAAAATAAATTATTTATGAATTATAGAACTTCAATGTTAAGCATATAGTGCAGCTTTGAGGAGAACTTCTCTAGATTAAAAGTCTGCGGCTGTCTGCTACTATGGTAACAAGCGATAACACATTTCTAATGGGGGTGATATTGAGAAAAGAAGGTGTCGATTGGTTTACTCATGACAACCTATGCATAGATTAAGACAAAACTATTCACCCCACACCCCTATTCGAAGTGTCCTATCCTCGTAACCATAGTACCTGCCACGATGCGAGACGGATTTCTGGAGGAGTTCTCCTGAAAGCCGCACTATATAGATGGCTGACTGAATGTAAACAATAACAAGCTTCCAAATACAAGAAGAAAATCAGAAAACTTTTCGTTTATGTTATGTTTACGAGGTGATGGGTGAACAGGTTTAATATTCTAAGAAGTTTTATTATTGTGATTTGTGTTTAAATTTTTGCATAGTTTTACCACTCATAAGAGTTTTCTGTAATTTATAAATTCTAATAGGCTATGGGCCTAAAATAAATTCAACAAAATTAATATCACATCATAAAAAAAAGTGTGAGGTTACCCATGTTTTGAATGTTATCCCTGATCTTGCTATATTTGTGTAAAAAAGTACCGTTTGTTATTTTTTGGGCAGCATCATAGCAAGCGTGTGCAATCTTCCAAATTCATTTGTTGTTTGTTTCATTGAAACTTAGATTGGAAGAATGTTTTATACTGAAAACACTATAACAGGGTGCGTATCCAAATCTATCAACAAAAAATAAGCACCTTTCAAGTACTTCTTAAGTAGTATATGCATTAACAAGATGAGAAATAATTTTCAAAGACTTTACATGATCATGATAAAATAACTAGTTTCTGACAAAGAACTCAAACAAAGAATATCAGACGGCGGAAAATGAAGCCTGAAATTGAGAATATCTTGCAAAGTGCAGCAGAGTTTCACATAAGAGTGCAATAATCTCACAGAACCCAGCTCAGTAGACGCACATGCGGACTCCCAAGTATTTTATCAAACCTGTAAAATGATTGGCGTTTACATACGCTGTGGACCGATGGTACGCTGAAATAGAATGTGGTTGAAAGAATCGTGAAAACGTTGAATAGAACAATGCGGCGAAAATCGACTGGGTAAAGAAAAAAAATCTCATTTTCGAAAAGGGAAAATTAAGCACTTTTTAAAATCAAGCAATGAAAAAAGCACATTTCAGGGCTTTTAAAATTCAAAAATAAGCACTTTTTAAAAACGCAATGCACCATGAAGAACGCTTTATACTGAAAACACTATGAGTATAATAATATTGGATGGTGCGGTTCAATTGAATCATTGACTAAGTCTTATGCTTTAAATTCATAAATGGAATTCATGAATTCCTTTAAATTCTTATAAAATACATATATATTTATCTATACTCTTACCACATATTCAAAAGCTAGTTGGTCAATGGGTATTTTGTATTTCCTTGCGTAGTTCTGCATGGCACCTGTCAGAAAAGCCTGAGTGAAATAAAAGCCAGATATCCAAAACACAGGTGGCTTTCCATTGTCATACCAGTTCTTAAAGAAAAGAAGAGAAACAATAACAATTATACTAAAGTAACAAATAAACCATTTGACAGAACAAATGTTGTCAATAAAAACAATAATAAGCTATCTATTAAACCAGGGGGATGGGTAAACTTTTTTGGTCGAGGAGAAAAAATCGAGAAAAATAAGTTTGGTGGGCCGAGTAAAAACTTCTAAAATAAAAATAATAAATAAAAAAACGATATACAAGTTTTAATTTAAATATTTAGTGAGAAGAATGAAATTGCGATTTCATGTTCTTAAAAAACTGCTACAGCTTTATTGCAGATAAGACATACTGGTTCATCTTTCACAACTGTAAAAAAAATGTTTCCAAGTCCATTTATCATTGAACGCATGGCACCCTGAATCAACTTAGCGTTTTTTAGTAGCTATTTTTGAGTTGAAAAATTTTACAAATAACTCAAACAAGTACTAGCTGTTTTATACATTTAATAATTTTACCATTATTTACAATGAGGTTATATGTGCAATGTTTCCATATGGAATAAATAATGTTAGAACTCGCTTCGACAGAAAAATCCGCTCATCGGAGCTTGAAATGCGCAGTCTGCCACACGTGAAGTACAATTCAACTATATTAGATTCCATATGTCTGCTCCATATGAAAGACAAACACTCGTTGGAGCCAATCTACAGCTATTCTAGAAAGAGCTTCAGCTTTCAGCATTTTACCATTTGAAGCTATTTCCATCAATTTATGTTTTGTAAAACAAGTATAGAGAAAGTAAAAAGGTCATCAGTACTCAGTCAAAAAAAGAAAGAACAAAAATCGCTTTAAACAAGACAAGAAAATGGATGTATATTGTTTATATTCGCCAGAGATCGGAAAGTTAAAATTCTATCCGCGGGCCAGATAAAATCTTCCGTCGGGCCACAGTTGGCCCATCCCTGTATTAAACTATCTATTAAGAAAGTTAAAAGTCATCTCACAAAGGTGGTTTCTTTCTTCTAAGAAAGACAATCTTCTAAGTACATGTAAACAAAAGTTATCATATTCCTTTAGGAGTTGGACACAAGAGCGTTGATGTAGGGTCAAGGCAGAAGTATGATAAGCAGGATATTCTTTATTATAAACTATAGGTGTCTGTTAGTATTTATCCCATTTTACAGCCCACAGACAAAAAATGACTTACTTCACTTTTTAGTTTGAAATAAACAATCTACCAGATGAAATTCCTTGTTTATATTTGAATAAATATTTGATAGTATATGGATATTTTATTTTATCCGTCGTTGAACAGACGACCCAATTTTGGGTTTACGACTAATAATAACCAACTCCCTAGCCTTGTAATTTTGAACCAATCCAGAAAACAAGGAAACTCCTGGATCAGTGCCCCCAGAAATATTGATTTGCTATGGGAACATGCAGGACTTTGCGACTCCACAGATTTAATGTGCATCAGTCACCATTTACTACACGGGAAGTCTTCGGTTGGCGGGTATCGAACCCACCGACTCTTGGACATGGGCCCAGTGCCCTGCCAACCAGGCTATCCCGGCCTTCGAACACTGGTATATGGAGTAATAAAAGTCGAGACAGAAACAAAGACTTATTTTGGTAACTGAAATTTTTTAAAACAGTTGAGCGTCCAGCATATTTGGTGCCCTGAGCCCCTTTTTCCCATGGTTTAGCATGTAACTATAGTATCAGGGAGTATTTAGTTATAGTGCACCTGAAGTAAGGTGATTTGTACCTAGAGAACAGGTACAGGGTACATATGTGAGATTTTTGTACTTTTTTGAAGTATAGATTATAAAAATTTTTATAACAGTCAACTGAGTAATGCTAATCGCTTTTATAATAGTGCCTGAAAAATATTCAATTTTATGTTACTGTTTGCAGAAATTTTAGTAGCTTTTTTTCAAAAATGTAAGTATATTGCATTTAAAAATTTACTTCTTTTATGACCCTTGCAAATAATAGATCAAATAATGTTTTAGCAATTGAACATTGATTCTTTCTTTATAATAAATATTGTAAATCAACAACGTCTAATAAAAAGTATTTTTATTTTTTTTAAATACTACTTAAAACACCCTCAATGCAGTGTGTGACCTCAATGTTAAAATCATTTTCGTTTAATGGCATGTTAATACTCCTTTCATAACTACCTAATTTAACATGGATTTTTAGTTTTGAAAGTTCAAACAACAAGCAACCGTAAATAATAACTTAATACTACCAAAATAAAATTATTTTGAAATTTTTTAATGATAAACCTTGTTTTCTGGAATACATTAATGAATATAACTAGTTTTGGTGATGTATGATTTTATTTGCCATCCTTAGCAATACAGTCTAGATAAAATCTTTTTCTGAATTACTTAATTCCTTGGAACATTTAACACTAAACATTCCAACACTTAATATATACCTAATTCTACCATAGCCGGTCAAATGACCGTACTTTATGTTTCTTGATGGAATGTATGAAATATGGATGTTAGGAAGGAAATAAACTTTAGGAAGGAAATAAATTTTTTAAGAAGGAAATAAACTTAAAAAAACTTTATTGTAATTAAACAAAATTGTATATTGCCAATTCTTATGTATTACAAACACAAAGAATAAGAGTTTTTGCTCAACGCATTTTTGACATTATAGGGTGTTTCCATTGTACCTTTTCCACAAGCATATTTCTTCTAATTATCATTATTTCTATAATTCTTATAATTATTCTCATAATATTAAGAATATATAAGAATTATAATTCTTATAATTAATATTATTTCTTCCAAGAACTTGTGCTGTCTTGATTGTTTCGACATTTTTCTGGGTAAAAAGTAACAGCTAGTTAGAAATGAAGTAAAGCTATCAAAATTAAATACTAGCTACTTACTCAAAGTAATTAGTTTTTGTCACTTTTTCTTACACAAAAATGCTAACATAAAATTTTAGGTACTTTCTTGAAAATTGAATTCACAATTATTTTGATTAAACTCACTACGCAACAGTCTTTGCAGAAACGTGCAACTAATCAAATACAATGCGTTGAACACGCATTACATCATCATTTCTGATCCGATAACCTTATAAGACAATTAACTGTTCTCCCGGTCATATGACCGGTTATGGTAGAAATAGGTATAAGACAAGTACTATTCTGACCAAAAAAAAAAAAAAGAATATTAACTGTATAAAAGTCACAAATGTGCAAAAACGATAAGATGAAAAGCGCATTTTCGATGCAAAAGTTCTTAAACGGTCATTTGGCCAGTTTCGTGTTAAATAAATTGATAAAATTTATTCGAAAAAAATAAATAAAAATAATAAATAAAGCATAAAGAATCCTCATAGTTAAACAAAGAAGTATAACAAGTAAAGGATTGTGTTACAGAGTAGAAATGTGTGCCCCTTGGCTTGGGAACACATTTTGTTGAATCCTGCATTGTGTTATTTATCAAACAATATTGTGTGTACAATATTGTGTGATAAATTAACATTGATATCAAATGTTTTAATGTGTTTTAGCTGTTTTAAAAAGATTTATAAAAAAATGTAACAAAAATTACTTTTTGGTGCTAATCTTGGTGATAAAAATTACCGCCAAATAGGGACACCTAATTATAAATTTTTACCAAAGGTTTTCATACTTGTAAAAACTGCAATCTCTGCAAGAAATCATTGATGTAGCTTCCCAGGGGTTTCAGTGACGGGTAAGACGAAGAAGCCCACATGACTGGGAGTCGTCCAATCAAAAGACTTCCTGTTAAAGCTTCCAGTTCTGAAGACATCACGATCATGCCTTTTAAGGCTTTTTGTAATTGTAACAGAGATGTACGGATAACTGTAAGCAGCCTGAAATTGAACAATAATTCACATTAGTTGAGTTAATGATTGAACCTATTTAATAAAATAACATAATCACTTAGAAAACTGTGAGGTAGTGCACAAGTTGAAAAGCAAATAGTGCTATTAATTAAAATTTATTTTCTCTGACGAAGTTTCAACAATACTGTTGATTGAATGAATGAACATCTTTATTAATTATTAACATTGATTGATTTGCATCATGCACAAATCTTAGCCTGTTCTCTAAAGACGTTTTTAAAAATAAAAACAAGTTTTGTGTATGATAATAAACATATTAGATAAAGGAAAATTTTTTATTTTGAAAGGAGTCACAAATCTGTAGAGCATGAAAAAAAATAGATGTTCAGTTTCAAATTTTCTTAAAAAAATACATAAGAACCCTTATAAAGAGATATATTTTACTTGTGAAATTATACAACATTACATTAAGCAACATTTTGAGATAAAAATATTTTGTTGCAATTATTAAACTGTAAGAAAGTTATGGTATTTTCTTTTAAAATAAGTTATATATTTACTTTTAAAACTAATTTAATGTAAAACTGTGTTCATAATTACAAAACAACTATTTAAAATTCTATAGCAATATTAAGAATAACTTTTCACACAATTGCTAAAAAATTTCTTGCGTGATAACCAAAAGTTGAATGACCACTGTTGAACTATTAACAAGCAAAGGTTGAATGAGAATTTTAAAAACATGTAATTTGGCGATAAAATTGCAATAATAACCCAGCAAAATACTTGGTTTAAATTCTAACCTAATAGAATTGAAAACTTAATATGTTGAACCAAACGTTTTTTGACTTAATGAAATAGTAATTACAATGTAAATGAAGTCTAATTTAATGTAAAACTAAGCTCATAATTATGCAAACAACTATTTAAAAGTCGATAGCAATATTAAGAGTTAACTTTTCACACAGTTGCTAAATAATTTCTTGGGAGACAAATATTAGCAACCAAAGGTTGAATGAGAATTTAAAAAACTATGTCATTTGAGGATAAAGTTGCAATAATAACCCAGCAAAATACTACATTTAAATTCTAACCTAATTGAATTGAAAACTTAATCTGATGAACCAAATTTTTTTTTTGTTGACATAATGAAATAATTTTGGTATTTTTTATATAAATAATTTTTATTGGGTGAACAATCAAATTTCCATCGTTTTCTATCAAAAATTAGCAGTTTATTGTAAAAAACCGTACATTATCTTTTATTGAAAGTATTCTCCATCATTCTGGGAGCATTCGGATACCACATTGTACGAACTCTTCATCTTTTTAGGATATCCACAAATCGACCCATTCCTTGGTTTCTTCAAATGATATAAATTTCTGGGGTGACAGACCATGTGCCATCGACTGGAATAGGTGATAACCTGAAGGGGCAAGGTCTGGCGAATACGGCGGGAGGGGTAGGACTTCCCATTGAAGTGTTTCTGCATAGCAAAATCAATTTTCATGCAAAATCGACATTCAAGGTCTCTTGGCTTCAGTTCATATGAAACCCAACTTCCTTGTTTATGGATCATTTTAAACGACGCTTGCTGAAATTGCTTGGTGAGTTACTTGTAATGTAAGAGAAACCACTTTTTGCGTTTAAGATTAGTCTGCTTCCAATAATTCTTCCAATTCCTTGCCTTCGTACAATTTTGACCCTCCACTTAGTCTTCCACGTCAAACTCATCGTTTTTAAACTTCTGAAATCACTTATGACAACTTCTCTCCCTTACAGCAACCTTGTCATACGCTTCTCCAAGCAATCGATGCGCCTCGGCTGCAGTTTTCTTTAAATGAAAGAAGTAAATCAAAAGCTCCTGCAAATGAAGCTTATTTGGCCCGAAACTTGACATATTTGCACGAAAGCAATTACGTAATTCTAATACGGAATCACTAATACTTTAAGGTTATGTTGTCACCAGATGAACAATATTACAATAAGATGTTTAACACCAGTCAATTTCTACATAACCTTCTGGTAGTTCTATTTTATGACGAACGGCGGAAATTTATTTGCACACCCAAGAGTTCATATAAGTCCTTTTTTTTAAGAAACAAAAACAATTGCAAAGCAACAGCGGTTCTCAGTGAGTGAAGTGTAATAATGTGCAGAGTGACTATAGCGTGTACTAGTACTTTGCATATTTGTGCAGTAAATCAAAAATGAGAGATGAAGAAAGAACTTGCTTATTAAATCTCTCCATTTCTTGAACGAGAACCGTATTCATGCTCTCACCGTAACAAACGGGATATTTTTCACCAGCTCTCTCCAAATTGAAATTCTCTGGTAGCTGAAGGAGAAACAATATCATTTCAGATCAGGAGCTGGACTGATTGATATTTATGGTCTCTTTAAGACAATAAAAAATACTATTGGTATATCAGGGTGTGTAGCCAGATTTTTCAACAAAAAATAAGCACCTTTTAAGTACTTTTTAAGAACTCAAAAAATACTTTGAATCACTTTCCAAAAACAAAAAAAAATCATAAATTGGATCTGTGCAATAATAAAAATTATTTTTTTCTATCGTTTAAAGTTTATAAACATAAAATCATAATAAATTTATATAATAAAATCAATGAAATTCAAAAACTTTACATAATCATGATAAAATAAATAGTTTCTGATAAATATTACAAAGAAAATTGTGAAAATCATGCATTTTTTGTAATTTAGAAACGACAATTGATACGGCAAAGAAAAAATCTACTTTAAAAGATAGAAAATTAAGCACTTTTTACAAACCCTGAATAAAAAAAGCACCTTTAAGGGCCTTTAAAAAACGTAAATCTAAAATAAGCACTTTTTAAAAACACTATGCACCCTGTATATAGATAGACGAAAAATGAATGTAGAGGGACTACCTCAGTATATTTATAACCGGTCTAAGTTGGTCTTAATTATTACGCACCAAGCTGACATAAGACAATTAAATTACTTTTTCATTAGTTGATCACTTGTCTAATTGAACAATCAAATTGTTGTCTCACAACTGGTCAACATACATAGACTTCATGGATTCAAATGACAAAATGGATTCCCTACATTTGCTAAAAATTCCAATGCAATTTTGAAAGTTACATTGAAGTTTTTAAGAAATCTTATGTTTCAAAATATTTAAGAGAAAACCGATTTTTTGTCAATAACTTTTTTCTTGACTTTAGTTGAATAAAATATGTTATAAGTACACTGAAATTTTTGTAAGTTGAATACTTGGGGGACAAAAATTTCACGGCTCACTAACAAATTTATTGTATTTGATCATTAAGATCAACTTAGAACAGATGTGGTCACCTTAGAAAAAGACTTCTGATCTGATAAACTATTTCATACTCAAGAATATTTAGGTTGAATTTTTAGTTGAGTTATTTATCCTTTTGTAGTAAGATATGTAATGACTCAAACCTAGAAAATTTATCAGTAGAAAAAATGGCCATCCCTGTCATTTGTTCTAAATGATTCTGTTTACCAATGTGACAACGAAACGTGTATAGGTTGTAATAAAAGGTTACTATTTGTGATATTTAAACGTTGTTCTTAATCATATTCAGCTTTTAAAAGCTTCATTTTGATAAGTAAAGGGTGACAAACGAAATTATGATGGCTATGTGGTGCAATGGCTGCCTTATACTTCCCAGACAAATTCATACCCAATACCCATCGATCTAAAGCTGAATGGGTTCCAAGCTGCTGCCAGGGTTCAAACCCTAGTCTTAGTAAATTATTGAGCCATTGCAGTTTGTCCTCTTTTGTAATTTAGAACAATTGACACTGCAAAGAAAAAAATCTTTCTAAAAGATAGAAAATTAAGCACTTTTTACAAACCCTGAATAAAAAAAAGCCTTTAAGAGATTTTAAAAAACGTAAATCTAAAATGAGAACTTTTTTAAAAACGCTATGCACATTGTTTTACACTCCCTCTATTTTCCAGGTTTTCCCTATTCTCCCTGTGGAGTGGCAACCCTGTCAATAACTCAACCAGTTTTTCTCCCTTAAGAGAATATGTATAGGAATGGAAACAAACCTTGGACAAAATATCCTCTGCAATGCCAATTAACTGGTGCTCAGTAGTATCACCCTCTGACATTCCGCCTGATCCTTCAATCAGTAAGATGTTGTCGAGCAGTTTTCGACTCTCCTGCAGCTCTCTTGTAATGTCCACATTTTCATGCATACCAAACACTTCAGGCTCTTGAGTTGCAGGAAATTTCTGAAAAGAAGTATACAATGCAGTGTTTCAGAAAAAAAAATACAAAACAGTAAACACCCTAATCTTATGCTCTGAATTACAAAGTACTTCAGGGAGCGAAGCCTTATCTTTCAACAAAAAATAGGCACCTCTTAAGTACTTTTTTAGCACTCAGAAAATATTTTAAGCACTATATATATTAACAAAATGCAAAATAATTTTCAAAGACTTTACATGTTCATGATAAAATAACTAGTTTCTGACGAAGATCTCTTTTCTTGATTGTATTAGCCACCGTAAAAAGATCGAGAGAATTTTCGTTTTGAAAAATGAAGTAATTGAGCATATCTAGCGAAATGCAGCAGAGTTGCAAATGAGAGTGCAATAATCTTAACGAACTGAGCTCAGTAGACGCAAATGCGGACTCGCAAGTATTTCATCAAACCTGTAAAATGATTGACGGAAGGTTGAAATGGATTGTGGTTGAATGAATCGTGAAAATGTTGTGAAAAGCATGCTTTTGCATATTACGTGCCGAAAATCGACAGGGTAAAGAAAAAAATCTCATTTTCGAAAAGAAAAAATTAAGCACTTTTTAGAAACACCCTATGAAAAAAGCACTGTTAAGGGCTTTTAAAAACTAAAATCGAAAAGAAGCCCCTTTTAAGCACTTTTTAAAAAAGCTACACACCATGTACTCCCTAGAAAAAAAAGGCAGGGCACTTCCTTACAGAAAAGGGCAATATGAGTTTTGAAAGGGCACACACTTAACATCGTTAAAATTTGATCAAAATGTGTAATATTATGCAATAACTGAATTTGATACTTAACAATTTTTTAAATACTATCTTATACTATTTTATGTGTGTATTTCAAAAAGTTATTCTCACTTATTATTAAAATATGAGAAAAAATTACAGTCTATAAAAATAATTAAAGTCTATAATCACAGAAAAGGGCAATATGAGTTTTGAAAGGGCACTCACTTAACATCGTTAAAATTTGATCAAAATGTGTAATATTATGCAATAACTAAATTTGATCCATAACAATTTTTAAATTATCCTCTTATACATTCTATAAAAATAATTAAAGACATGCTAAAAGACAATCATTCAGAAATTTTTTTTCTTAAAAAAAGCAAACTAAAAAAAATAAATAATGATAATTGATAAATAACTCGAAATTTTTTTTCTGTCATTTAAGTTGAAAATTATGAGAAAATGAACATTTAAAATCACTTTAATTCATTAATATACCCCCGAAAAAAGAGAAGTTTCTGACAAAATATTTGTTGTAGTAATCAGAATTAAACCTATAAACAGATAATTTTGCCATTGTGTATTTATTATTTAAACAATGAATTATTTTTTAATGGAATATGAATAAAAAAGCTGTGTTTTCATAAGATTGCAGCTTATTTTTACAAAAAACGCAAATAGGGCGCATCAAAGAGCAGACAGGGCGGGCCGCCCTTCAAAACCTGCTTAGGCAGAATACTAAAAATAACATGTAGAAAAAAAGTCACTCCTTAAAATGTAACAGAAGTTTTTTAAATTTCCAAACAAGTGCAAAATTTAAATTCTGAAATTAGACACAAAAATGCACTTTTTCTTAACTAAACACATACTTTATGAAGATAAAAATAGATGTTTAATACTCAAAAAATTGGTAGAAAGTTTTGGTTATTTCAGGTGGTTATTATTTGATTTTTTAAAAAAATGTATAGTTTTATTCTGAAAAAATATTTCTTTTAGTGTCTGAACTTACATATCAGTATCTGAATTAATAGTGTAACTTTAAATAAAGGACTAATTTATAAGTATATTTGAATGTGTCCTGCAACCCTTAAAGTTAGATGAAATTCCATTCATTACATCACAATTAAAATAAATTTGCCTTATATAGAAACAAACAGATTTATAAGTTATGTATTTATATGCATATTTATTTAATTGCATATTTGTCTTAAGTGGTACTGAAATTGTGGCTATTCACTTAAATTGGGCATACATACTTTTTCTTGAGTCAAATGCTTTTAACTAGAATTTTACATGCATTTTTAGAAATCTTCCTTATTTTCTCTCCCAAAAATACCTGCTAGCATTACATGAGAATCACTGTTTTTAACTTTTGTATAAATTCGAGTTTCTGTCAAGCATGCTTTGAAAATAAAGTCATCTATATGGCCTTAAACCCTTCATAATTTTGAAAGAAAAATTTAAGAATTTTCAACATAATTAGTAGATTTTTAAAAAAATGAATTACTCGAATGAGCTTCAGAATGTCTTCATAGACATCTACATTGGGTACCATATAATCACCACATACAGAAAGCCTGCAAGAGAGAAAGTAAATTTTGACATAAATACAAGACTTAAACAGGGTGCGTAGCCAAATTTTTGAACAAAAAATAAGCACCTCTTAAGCACTCAAAAATATTTTGAAACTCTTTATTTTCAAATTATATATATACATGAACTTTCAAAAATAGGAAGAATTTTTATTAGTGCACATATCCTAATTATATTATTATTGTGATTGAATGAATTATGAAAACATTGAGTGTGAGAAAAATGCTTTTGGCATAATTTGTGACAAAAACTGACTTGATAAAAAAATATCTCATTTTGGAAAGGGGAAATCTAAGGGTCTTTTAAAAACACCAAATGAAAAAAGCACCTTTAAGGACCTTTGAAAATTGAAAATAAGCACCTTTAGGCACTTTCTAAAAATGCTATGCACCCTGCTAATAGACTAATTTTTTAGAAACATGATTTAAAATAGTATTTCTGATTCTGACAATTGCTGATTTTCAAGATACAGCATCTCTTAACCATCAGAGAATGCATTTACTATAAAACTTTCTCAATAAGCATAGTTATACTAAAAACATTGCTTTACTATAACACTGTTTTACTATAAAACTATCTGCTATTGCTTTATTGTAACTTTTCACTATAACATTGCATTAGTATAATATTGTTTTACTAGAACATTACTATAACATGGTTTTACTATATACCTAGTTCTTGAATGGAAATTGAAGTTTAGCAGAAAGCCAAATGTTTGTTCTCACTTCTAATTTTTACTTATTATTCCATAGTGCCAAATGTTATTTAGTAAAACTTTTTGGTACATTTCATTCTAGTCGATTTTGGAAGCAAAAATAACAGATAATTAAATTACATGTACAATAGAAAATTACAAAGACAGCATTATCTTTGCTGTTCTACCTAAAAAGTATTATAAAATTTCAGTGGCAAGAAAAAAAGTAAAACAGCAAGGAAAAAAAAAGACTGCCATCAAAAATCGTCTATATCTTTTCACTCTGAAATCCCCACATAAAGTTGGGCAGACCATCAAATTTTACCTATTCATGACATCTGTCTTTTATAGAGCAAAAGAAAATGTTAATGGTTGTGGCTCACCCCAACTCTAAATTACACAACCTCTTTTCTGGAATATCTTAATCCAACATCTTTGACTCCTCAAAGAAATATTAGAAGCGAATAATGTGTTCGATTAAAATTTCTTTTCAATGCCTTACACTCAAAAATATTCATATTAAACGATGAGGACTATTCATTGTACTTAGCTTTGATTACTGTAAATGTAACCTTAGATTTGGATTCATTAATAGAACTATCCGACTTAAACATAGCACATCAAATCTAAGCTTGATAGTACATTTTATTTCATAACCGTCCTTTAACAGCCTACCCAATTTTTTGGGTTAATGATTACTAATGTTCAACTCTGTAGCCTTGTGATTTTGAACCCAATCCAGAAGACAAGGGAACTCCTGGATCAAGTATTGAGAGAAACTCATGTTTGAACTAACCCGCATTTGCTTAACATGGTGATGAAAACCATGCGGATCTCCCACGGCTAGCCAGACGTCAAAGGGACTCTAACTTATGATACATTTCCCACTGAGGATGCTTGACGTCAACACTGTGGTCGGTGCAAGCCGGATGCAAAAATTCGTATCGACCAGCTATCACAGGGATTTGATCACAGGTCACCTCATTGGAAGGCAAATGCTCCATCCCTTCAGCTGCCAAGGCTCTTGATAGTAGATTTTATTTTATAACCATCATTACAGCCGACCCAATTTTGAGTTTACGACAACTAATGCTCAACTCCGTAACCTTGTAATTTTGAACACAATCCAGAGGACAAGGGAACTGCTGGATCAAGTATTGGGAAACAATTGCTTTTGTGGGAAACTTTTTGATAGAACTAACCTGCATTTGCGTTACAGGGTGAGGAAAACCATGAAACCTCTCACTGTCAGCCCGACGGTAAAGGGACTCTAACCTATGTTCCACCTACCACTGATGATAGTTTACGTCAGCACTGTGAAACAGATGCGGAACTCGCAAGGACCAGCCATCACTTGATTTCAAACCCGTATCACCTCATTGGAAAGCGAATGCTCTATCCCTGAGCCACCTTGACAGTATATTAAACAGATTAGCTCACTTACTTGTACTGACCCTCCTCAATGATGCTTGGATTGCAAAAGTCTACTAAGAGTGTAAGTAGGCAGCGCCTATCCCAATCGTCGGTGACCCTACCACCGTAATTGCATTCTCCGACCATGTAGGTGATTGCCTCAAAAGGCACCTCACTGTACTCATTGACAAACATCTGAAGTTGTTGAAGAGATATTCTTAAGTCCGATTCATTAAAGCCGTAAGGAATGTTCCAGCCGATCGGACCAAACTTTTTCCGCTCTTGAATGAGCGCATGGAAGAAGCATAGGCCGAACATAAGTTTGTGAAATTCCTGCAAAGCAAACAATTGTGGAATAAGTTATGAATTTCATGGGCAATAATAAAATGATTTATTTAAAGAGAAATTATTGATTGAAAAACATACGAAACATTTTTAATATGTGATTTTTGACCTTAGATCGATTTTCATGTTTTAAAATTGTATTGTAATTATATTGCCATGAAGTTTTAATTAAAAAACTAACATTAGCAGGGGTTTAGATTGTAAGCCCAACTCAAAAATCCTGAAAATTTTGTGAGTAAAATCATTAAGGACACATTTCAAAAAATTAGTGTTCTTATAAATTTAAACCACTGTTATTTTCAAAATATGGAATTCTAAATAAATTATATGCAGCATAATTTAAATGAATTATTAGGTATAAGTTTACTTTTATCTCTAATCACATTTATTGTTCTACCAGAAAAAATATTTACAAATGAAAGAGATGCAAAGCATTAATTCTAGTTCTAATATTTTTAAATAAAATCTACAAGAATTTTTGATGATGATTTGATTTCTTGAAACATCTACTATGATTTCTTGAAACTTCTAGACCTTGGATTTCCGGAAACTTAATCCAGATTTTTTCCGGAGCACAATCATCTCTGCATTAGCATTTACAGCACTTTCAAAATGGAATTTTAAAAATTTTGTAGCTCATTTGGATTTATTAACCCACTGGCGGTGTAGCGAATGGGCAAATTTGGGAGAAAGTTTCTCCCTTATACACTATTTCAGTTTCATACTACATGGAAAACCCGGTTTTGTTATGCAGAGAAAACGGCATGTTAAAATAAGGCTTTTTACACGCAGAACTGTGAGCTGGTTAAAATGCAAATAAATAAAAAAAAATAATACAGCCTTTTTTTTTATACAGATACATATGTTAAAAGTTGTTATTGAATATGGAGTATTTTTTGCAATAAACACCGATGCTGGTAATGAAATTCCTATCCATTTCTAGCTCTGAAACACAATCTTCCAAATCACATTTAATTTTACCATTGCAAACATATTTCTTTATTATGTAAAAAATTTTTTAAAGGAAATTATCTGAATATGACATAAAAAATAGTTTAAAGAAAAGTCCAGATTGTATTTTCTAATTGTGTTTGTGTTTTTTATTAATAAATGGGTAAGTTAAGATATTCAACATTGAATATTTATAAACCAGCTATTAAGGTATAAGGCAAGATATTTATTTTGTGATTTCATAAATCTCAAATAAGTCTTAAATAATTTTAAATTTTCATGCATAGTATATATTAATATAAAAAGCAATTTTTAATGCAGTAACGTTCTTTAAAATGTATTGCCATGATTTATTTTTATAAACATTTCAATTATAATTAAATTTATAAAATTTAACAAATTATAAAATAAAATTTATGAAAGTATTAAAAAAAATCTTATTTAAATCAAGTTAATCAGATTTTTTTGTTAAAAAGACACAGGAACTTTGGTATTTACTGTGTTTTTGTTTCCACATCCATTGAAGAAGTCTGTGTCACTTATAGGAGTACCCAAATAAGACTGTAGCAAGTTCTGTTTCAAGCCAGTGGGAGGTTCATTGGTCATCTTGACACTGCTTTGTAACACTGACACAGGAAACTGAAAAAATAAGCACTTTTAAGTACTTTCAAAGCACTCAAAAATTATTTTTAAGCACTATATACATTGACAAAATGCATAATATATTTCAAAGATTTTACATGATCATGATAAAATAATAATTAGCTTCTGCAAAGAACTCTTTTCTTGATTATATTAGCCATTATAAAATGATCCAGAGAATTTTCGGTTCGACATCAGTGGCTGGAAAATGAAGCCTGAAATTGATAATATCTCGCAAAATGCAGCAGAGTTGCACATGAGAGTGCAATAATCTCAACGAAACCAGCTTTGTCGATGCACATGCGGACGACTCGCAAGTATTTCATCAAACATGTCAAGCCATTAGCGTTTTCATACGCTGTGGATATGCCAAAATGGATTGTGGTTGAATGAATTGTGAAAACGTTGAACAGAACAATGTGAAAAGTACGCTTTTCCATAATACGTGGAGACAATCGACATGAAAAAGAAAAAAAAATCTCATTTTCAAAAAGGGAAAATTAAACACTTTTTAAAATCACCCAATGAAAAAAGCGCCTTTAAGGGCTTTTAAAAAACGAAAATGGAAAATAGGCACTTTTAAGCACTTTTTAAAAAAGCTACGCATCATGTTAGATAACTCTGCTTCCTATATTGGTCACATGTCTATTGGTCATTATGATTAAAAAGTTTCTTTTAATGGTGGATACTTGGGTCTATTTCCCATTGCTCTCAGAAATTCCGGAATTGACACTCTCTTATCGTTACTCAGTGGGCACTCATGGCTAAGCCACAACGGTGGAGTAGCGTTGCCCACGTCATACAACCCCAAACACGTTTATAGGGCTGGTTACGTTCACACAATCATACAGAAGAGAGGACATATAGAACAGAGAGAGAGAGAGAAGCTTACATCCATGCCTACGGTGGGATTCAAACCCACAGCCACTGGCCTTGTAGGCCAGTCCAGTAACCACTAGACCAGTGATCGGCATGACCAGTGATTATGATACAATCAGGGATGCCACTCTAAAAATATTTCAAGACTGAACTTATTTTTTGACCAAATGATACTGTCAATCGTTGTTTACTAAACTTTTAGAAATTTATAGCTCACTGACACCAAAATTTACCTTTCTACCTAGCCTACATATTAAGTCAATCATTTTATTATTTTTTCTATAAATGTTTTTCTTTATTTTATGTTTTTTTAGCAAACAAAACGAAAATAACAGCTAACCTTGTATATTTTTTTACAACTATTACTGAACAACCTGAAACCATTCATATCTCTATTTTTCACTTTACCGTTATTTATTTTTGTTGTAGCACTTAATTTCTTTCTTTATTTAAAAAATAATCTTGATTTAACTTTAGTCAGCATGACAATAGGTTAGGTTGGGGGAAGCAAACTCGAGCAGATTTAGATTCAGCAATAGTACAAATTTAATTACACAAGTAGATGAAGTTCAATCAATCCCATTTGTCAAGACTAATAAGATTTAGTGAAGCTGACAAAAAGAAGATAAATAAAAGTCCTGACATCATTACCATATCATATAATTTCATTAAGATATATTTTTTTATTTTGACCAAAAAAAAATTAAATTTCTAGTGAAAAAAAACAAGAAAATTTAATTTAATTGATAGAATTTATTAGTCTATTGATTTTTCTCAAGACTGATTTCAGTCCCCAGGACTGAAGAGTGGCACCCATGGATACAATGTGTATCAGTGAAAAATATACATCAATAAGTCATAATATTTTACTTATTGCTGATTTTAAATAACAATCAGTAAAATATTGTTGATTCAAATAAAAAAAAACGAGAACCAGAAATGGTATAAAATTTGGAAAGCGAAAAATATATATATTTCTTACGCATCCTATCACTTCCGAACTGCATGTAGAAAGTCATATTTTTTTTGATCCTTCAAAATGATCGAGTACACAAAAAAAAAACTTGCTCTATTTTTTACCTACAAATGGTCTAGCATTTAAAACAAGCACATCTAGAATTAGATATAAAAATGACCATTCGTATCACAGTTTTTTCGACTGGTGAGCAAGCCAGATCCACAATAGTATAAAAAAAGGGTGGACGCTTGGAAACAGTAAGTAATGTCCTAATAAATGTGTCAAAATAACCAGGAGATTATAGGCAATTTCTAAGAAAAAGATTGTATCCAAAAATGTACAAAAAAGTAACTAACATTCAGAAAATTTAAATTGATACTGTTACATAATTTTTTTTTAAATAAAAAAAATAACGTCCAAAACTCCCTCCATTACTATATAATAAGGAATGGTTTGAAAGTAACTTAATTTCATGGGTATAAAATTTCAATTTCAGCGAAAGCAAAGAATTAAGATGGTGAAAAAAAGGTGTGGTGACTACCTTGGCAGACGGATAACTGGTTAGCCAAAGACGAAAGTCTAGATGAGTATTTTCTTCAGTTAGATTGTTGCAGATTTTTTCTAATTCAGGCATCCAAGACACAGCTAGGTGACAATTTTGAAGTGCAACCCATGAGCCTCTCTCTCTGGCATCCTTGATCATAGTTTCTGCGACTGGTCCCTGGGTAAGAATCATGACACAATTAAAAACAGGGTGCATAGCCATATCGTTCAACAAAAAATAAACACCTTTTAAGCACTCAGAAAATAATTTTAGGCACTATATATATTAACAAAATGCAAATTAATTTTCAAAGACTTTACATGTTCACGATAAAATAACTAGTTTCTGACTAAGAACTCTTTTTTTTATTGTATTAGCCACCCCAAAAAGATTGAGAGAATTTTCGGTTCAAAAATGAGGGAGGAAATGAAGTAATTAAGCATATCTAGCAAAATGCAGCAGAGTTACACGTGAGAGTGCTAGAATCTTACCGAACTCAGCTCAGTGGACGCACATGCGAACTCGCAAGTATTTCCTTAAACCTTCAAAATGATTGCCTCTTTCATGCGCTATGGACCAACAGAAGGCCGAACTGGATTGTGGTCGAATGAATCGGGAAAATGTTGAACAGAACAATGTGAAAAGCACGCTTTCGCATATTACGCGCAGAAAATCGACTGGGTAAAGAAAAAAATCTTATTTTCGAAAAGTAAAATTCAAGCATTTTTTAAAAACACCCCATGAAAAAAGCACCTTTAAGGGCTTTTAAAAAAAACGAAAATCGAAAAGAAGCACCTTTAAGCACTTTTTAAAAATGCTAAGCACCATGAAAAAACAAATGATACATTTTATTAAAATTTTGAAAGAGAGGAAAGAAAAAAAGCAGTCACCTGCCCTTGTCCAAGTGAAATGGCAGAAAACTTGTCTCCACTGAAACCTTTGTCTTCAGCAAATGTGAGGAGAGCTGCCATTGGATCAGCTCCTGGAGACAGAACAAAGAGGAGAGGGATGGTGCAACCAGAATCATTGTAGCTCTCGGGTAAATTAAAAGGAGGAGGCTGCACAAATTTCTTGCCAAGGTTTGTAGATACAAATTTTGTTACCATCGGCACGATCTAGAAGACAACTTAGCATTACATTAAAAAAATCCTACATAATTATTCTACTAGAAATACACAGCTTGTGACACATTACATGGCAGAACAAAAATAAGGAACATTTGACACAATACAATGAATCTATAGTAATAACAATAAAAACATTTTCTTATACTTTTCATTTCACATGAACAAATGATTATTTTGAAGAAAAAAATTTGGTCTTAAAAGTACAAAATGAGATGAGTAAATTATTTTGTTTTCTTATTTAATTTTCAGAAATAAGTGACAAAACAAAATTGATCGGTGAGATTAATCTGCCGTTTACAATACTCTGATTGCTATTGTAGATTTATGGGGGTCCAATTGATCCTTTTTTTAAGGAAAATTCTGCTCACTAGAACTTTCCGGTTATCCAGGCTATGCTATAGTACACAATGATGTAATGCAGTGTAATAATTTATATAAATTATATTAATAGTAAATCAATGGCTATTGGATTACATTAAAAATATAATACATTTATCAGTTTCCTAAGATTTTAATAGAGAAAAAATTTGCTTCACATTATTTTGAAAAAATAAAAAATTTCACAATAAAAATTTAGGAGATAGTTTACACCATGTCACTTGTCTGATGGTTAATTACTTGCTTACATAAGATAAATCTATATTATCCCATAATTCTTATAATTAATTATAATATAGATCAGCTATAAATAAAAAATCTGAAAATAAATAACATGATTAAATACTATTTACTAGGTTTTCCCATGGATTAAATGGTTTTTACCTTAATTAAATATAAGATGAAAAAGCTAAATAAGGCTTAAAGGTGAAAAAGCTTAAAAACAAAACATTTAGTACCTACTTTAAAAATAGTCAATTTTAAAGTGAAGTTAATACCTTATCAAATCTTAAACACCTCAAAAGCAAGAGTCTTTGAAAAAGGGAGAGTTTTTCTTCCCAAATACCAGGCAGTGGAATGTTTTGTGGGTCTTTAGAGATAGAAATTTCTTTCCAGGATTCTACAGTAGACATAAATTCATCTCTGTAAAAAAAGAAGAAAAAATTGCATTTTTAGAAGACACCTTTTATATTTAAGTGGAAAATAACATAGGACTACCAAAATAAAAGGAAAGTACTAATCACTACAAATATGGAAGTTGATTTTTCACATTAAAAAGTATGAATGGTTGACCGTGTAAAACTAAGCACTAGGTGTTAAAATTTGTCATAAGACTTCTAGGTTACTACTCCAGATTAATTTTTATGCCTAAGCTTGAAAACGTGTGCTATCCAATATTAATACAAAAACGAATGAAATAAAAATAAAAATATGACCACCGAAGCCGACGTCTTCAGGGGGTACCGGCCTCGGTAGCCATTAAAAACAAAACCATTTCTAATTGAGGGAGAAGCAAATGCTTAAAAAATCTCCCTCAGTACCCCGATGGTTTTGTATAGAGGTCCAGGAAAAACAAGATACATTCAAAATAATTAACAAATTAAGAAAAGAAAATCAATCAAAATCATCAGAAAAATAAAAACTCACTAAGTCACAGGTCAAGCATCAACTTCAAAAG